ACAATTGATAATTGCTTGCGAGAGAAATTAAGAAAGACAATAAAGCATTAGTTTAAGACAACAAACGTAGGCTTTATAAAATTTTTATTTTTAGTGAGATAAAATTTAGTTATTGTTATTATATGAAGTATTTGTTTGACATGCAATTATTATAAGAATGTTAAACAAATTTTCTCAAAATAAATATATTGTAAATTTATTAAATAAGTTGCGCACAATAAATCATGCTTAAAAAATTTCTTATAAATGTTAGCTCTTGGAACAATACATGAAGTTAATTGTCTTAGAAGAATGTTAAAGAACATGAAGTAATATCATTCTCTCTCCAAATATGATTTTTTTTAATGAAAATATGCCCATGCTATCAATGACCAAGAATTATGTTTATATAAATTGCTCAAAGTATATTGAGCTCATATTTCATTTTATCATAGAGAATATCGAAGATGAGATTATAGGCTAAATACTAAAAATGCAGAGATAAAGTTGTAAACATTTTTCTGAAGCTTATTTCCCAAAATATTTTCTTTTAAATTTTGTGACAAACTTAAGAGGTGTAGAAGTTTTAGATAAGGAAGGAGAGTTAGAATTATCTTAAATGTATTAAATATGAGTGATTTCCCCACCCCCCACAAAAAAAAAAAAAATCTCAGCACTTGTTCCTAGAAATAAAGCACTACTCTATTTAGGAAATACTGCTATTACAACTTTTAAACATTTCTAAGAGTTTTGTGTAAGTGTCAGATATAAATTGTAAAATAAGACAAAAAAATATAAGAAGATTTTTATTTTTTATTTTTTCTATTTCCTTACTCCTAAGATTCAAGACCTACCTTAGTATGGAATATATTTTAGATCCAAAAAAGTACCTGAAGAACAATGTAACAAGCAAATACAAGGCTTGTACTGATCAAAGTAGCAATGAGAAGGTAATTCTGCAAGATAACAGGGATGAAAGAATGAATATTGGCAATGGTAAATCTAGAGCAAGAAGAATGTGAATGTTACTCCACGTACCTCCATTGGCTATTTTGGGCTAACAGTAGATTATGTATTGCACAGGCAAGCTACTAATAATAATTTATATAGATTGGAAATGAAACTTCATATATTTGAATGGCTACAAGAAAATATACAGAATTTCCCTCATCTATATTTTATTCATATTTCGACCATTCCATGCCATTTGTCTTAAGCAATTTCAAAGGGTTATGTATCTTAGAGTAGTTTAAGAATGTTGGGTTTTATGATAGTTCAGCTTTGTTGTTAAAACTTAAAACAGTTGCAAGAAATAATAATATCATGATGGTGACCTATATAAAGAATAAAAAGGAAAGGGGAAAAATAATGAATAAAATGGTGACATCAATTATTATATGACATATTTGTAGGACCAAGAGTATTGTATAACACGTTCCTTTACGCAGAGGAAAAATAAGAAACAAAATATAAAAAGGTTTACGGTTTATGTATATATATATATAATATAATATAAACTAATTTAAGAACGAATCATTATCTGTTTATATGAAAAATAAAGTTGCAAAAGTATTTTTAACTGTAATGATAGTTGTGTATATATGTATGTAGCATTTCTTTAATAAATGTTAAAAATATTTTTTATATTAAAAAGATATTTTTCAAGTTTTGTATTTGAATAATCCAAAATTTATCTTGCGTAGAATGTTTACAAATAAATAATTTAGATTTAATTAATTGTGGGAAGAGGTACGGTTGGATATATAACATGAATCATGCTCATATTTGAAAAGTAGAAAAAATTGGCATGACTTGAACACAGGCACCTCTCCCACACACAATTATATATATATAATTTAATATAGATAAATAAAATAATATACAATTGTAATTTAACCGTTGAATGAATAAAAATTATATTGTAGAAAAAGTCTTAATATAATAAAAGTACTTTTGAAATATTTGAGCTCTGGTATCAAGATTTGATGTATTTTCATATTTGATCTAGGTTTAGGCTAATCTGAGCTCATTAATTACGAGGCTTTGAAAATAGTAGGTTAAATGAAACGTGGTATGCGATGGGTTATTATAGGTTTTGACTTATATAGAAAGCTTGGACTCTTTCAGTCTTTTTTAATTTTATCATCAAATTCTTTAAAGAAGTTATTTTTAAGTAAAAATATATAAATTTAAAGGTTGCTTGTAGAAAAAGATAATTTATTAAAAAAATAGAAGAAGGTGTGGATAATTTTTTTTCTACGCTACATGTATGAGATCACAAATTAAGCTAGTATAATTTCTACCAGCTAATTTATATGCGTAGTGATATGAATAATGCTTTTAAAGTATGAATAATTTTTTAAATTTTTTTTATTTATCTTCACTAATTTTAAAAGAAATAGATGTAATTTAGATCAGTGATTAATTTTTTTTTGTGATATAATAAATATCTTTAGCCATGTTTTGTAGTTTTAAAACTTAAGTTATGATAACAATAATGTTTACAAGAGTAAATTATAAGTACGAATTAACAGTTAATATCTATCTATAAAGAGTTATAACAATTTAATAAATGTTATTTCATACAGAACCACATTTCGTTTTTATTTCAAAAAGTTTCATAAATAGATATATAATTTTAATTGATATTTATTTGTGTATGAATAGTCACATACTATATTTCATGTTTATTCATATAAAAACATGTTATTTAATCAACATATTTATAATTAATATGCATAAAACAATATAACCTCAAAATTAATTTAAGATGATAGGAAATGTTTAGCCATAAAATAATTGGATAGCTGGCATACATATTGCTAATTATTATACTATTTCGTATTGATAATGTTTTGTCGGCATTTTCTTTTCCTAAATAATTTGGTTTTGCACGTTAACCAACGTCAACATTTCTCACTTCGCAGTTGATACGTGTGTCGCACTTATAAAGGATTGTTCCAAGAAATTATAGAAAGTTTGTTAGAATGATTTATAATCTTTTAAGTTTATTTTAATAATTCTTTAGTATAATTTATTTTCAAAATATATATAATTAAATTTATGGTATATTTTTTATAAAATTTATTTGATATTATTATTTTTATCTGTTTTATAAAATTTAATTATTAATATTTTTCTAATTATATGAAATAACAACTAATTTTAAAATATATTAGGTATTAATTTTTTTATATCTTTATTTATTATAAGATTTGTGTTAATAAAATACTCATCTTTTACTTAACACGTTTATTTATTTAATATATTATTTTTAATCGAATTTTATAAAAAATAAGTAAAATATGTTTAATATAAAAATAAAGATTTATTTTTTAGATATATTAATTTCTAAATGTTTTTAATATTTTTCTATTCTAAAATTGGTTTTAACCAAGTGTCCACCTTTTATCCATATATGAAAGTAAATGATTTTATTCATTTATAAGTATTTTTGAAATGCAATATAAATTTAAGAATAGTTAGTTCTAAGATTTTAAAATTAATAATATTTTATTAAAAATAACCTATTTATTACATTAAAATTATAAAAGTATAATAAATATTTTCAATAAAATTTTATTATTTTTAAAAAAATGAAATTACCATTTTTTAATTTTATTATTATGAAATTGAGTTTAAGTGTTTAACTTATATACTTCTAATGGAAGTAACCCAAATTATAATAATCTAATTTAATTTACTACTAGGACAAAATAATATATCCCATTAGCAAATAACATAATATATATATATATATATATATTTATATATATATATTTATATATTTATTTATTTATTTATTTATTTTTGGTAATGCCAATAATTTAGAGAGCCTCATTAACAAACCCGTGGGCAAACAGAAACAAACATTTGCACCCTCCATGCCATTGGGTAGTGTCTGAGGGCACCATACACAACACAACAACTATATACACAAAGGCACATGTAGTAACATAGTTCATAGGTCCCACTGAACCTCACATGGTGAATGGTGATGCAGCTAAGTCCAATTAAAAATTTAGGAGCTGATGCAGACCTGTGAGGCCCTTACCCGTTGAGTGTGTTACAAACCAATTTGTCTTTCAATCCTAATCTCTGAACAAAATGGAAAGAAATACCACTAACCACGTAAAGCATTAAGCTTTTACAATCCATAAGAAAAGAATCTCTCTGTCTGGACCCTGAAATGACTTGAAACAAATTTCATGTTCCTAAAACAAGATTTTCAAATATTTAACCCTGATTATACTATTATTAAAGTACTAAAAGTGGAATTTGAGATGTGTGTAGCTTTACCATTGATAAAAGAAGAAGGCGGCAAAACAAAAGCTCCAATTCCGTGCCCAAAAAAGAAGTAATAATGTCACTCACCCAAATTAAAACAAAATAAAATAACAAATCAAGCTTGCTTACTCTCATAAATGCAGCTCTACAGGTAAGAAGTGTCTTTCTGTCCTTCATATTTGTCTCAACTCCTTACGACATACTTAATCACTGTACATTTTAAACAAGGGTAATGTTTTTCGTTATGAAATTACTAGTTATTGATTTTTAAATGTTATCTAACATCAATACTTAACAAGACTCTTGAACTTGTAGAAAACAAAAAATTACATAGTTCTATGCAAATCAATTTAGATTTGAAAGTTAGTTTAAAACTTCACATTAAATTACATTTTTTTTAATATATTTAGATTTATGTTTAAATTAACATAAATTTATGCTTATTGGAATACTATTAATTGTTACTTTTGAGATATGTCCATATTTATGGATTTTCAATGCGTTTTCAAATGCACATCTTGGATCTAACATTCAACCGTAACTAGGCATTAGCTTTGAAGTTTTGAACTAATGATGACATGAACATTTTGAGAGGGAGGAATGGGATGACAAAAAAAATGAAGGGGAGGCTCTGTCTTCTGGAATCTGAAACAAATAGAAGTGTACCCCACGAAAGCATCAATAAAAAATTGTTGCTCTTCTCCATCAGTGCACATTTATTCAGAGCCAAACAAAAGTACAACCCCTCTCACTCTTTCACTCTCTCTCTCTCACCCACACGCCCATACAACCCACTAATCTTTCTGAAAAGTCTAATAAAACCTATTGCAACATCAGGTACCGGTTAATGGTGTTCCCAAAATGGGTTAACACACTCTTCGACCCCTTAAATACTTTACTGTGCTCTTTCATCTTTCTTCTTTTCCAACTCCACCATGCTCTACGGGCTTCCCTCTTTGTTGGGTTTGTTGGCTTTTCTTGGAATGCAGCTTCCTCTCATAATGGCTGGTTAGTTCATTGAAAAGTTCTTTCCTTTCTTAGCTCTGCTTCAGTATCTTCTACCCTTTTGCCTTCTTATACAACTTGGTAGTGCATTCATTTGTGTCATTTCTCTGTTACCCATCTCAGCTATTCAGCAATGGTGAGTTAAGTGTGAATGAGAATGGCTATTTCATAATGTGAATATGAAAAATGAAACTTTTATTTGATATTCTTGCCGCATTTACACAATTCGTGATAATTATAATGATTGCTATCTTTACCCTTTGCATTCATGACCTATTGGGAAACATAAAAGAGAAAGGGAAGTGAAAGGATTGACTAGTGCCGATGAATCTAGACGTGTTATACACACATTATCAACGCATTACTAACATTTTTCTCACCTCTTTCCCTCCCCTTTTCCTAAAATCAAAGTTTCTTGGACACAAGAAGAAGTATCTTGATGGAATTGTAACCTTAGCAAGAGCTTCTGTGATTAGAATGGTTGAGGAGATCATTATTGAAATTTGTCAATTGTAGCCTGCAATTGCTCATAGTGGACCCTGGGCTACCGCCTAATGAGTATAAGCATTTGACCACATTTACTCTAGTCTAGCAATTTGATGAGCTTACCCCTGCACATCTGACACTCTCTATTGTACTTTTACGGGTATAAACTATACAAATGTACGTGTTCGGGCCTGTGATGAAATTTAAGGCTGTTATTAGTGATACAAACCGGTTATGAGCATTTTACCTATTAGTATTTTTGAGAGATTTGGTCCTTGATCAAATAGTCCAGAGTTTCGTCATTGCTGCTTCTATTATTCTAATTAAATTATAGTTTCAGAACAAGGTTTTACTGACTTGTGCTTTGTTCATTAAATGCATTTACATGAAGGGGCATTGTAGAGATATAAAGCATAAACTGTTTCTGGGCTTCCAGTTGATAGCTTCAAGATTTTAGGAACCTTGACACAACCTACTACTCTCTTAATTTGTTCCTCTGAAGGATAATATGAAGATTTTAGGAACCTACTACTCAACCTACTATAAAGTAATATCTAATGCTTGTTTATTTGATTATTATATGCTAGCTTCTTGTTCATTTTCTCCTGCGTTTGAGTGGTGATGTCAAAATATATACTTTGCCCTAATAAGATGTTTGCCTTTTTCCTATGAACATAGGCTTTGAGCTTTCACTGTAAACCCAATCAGTAAACATATTTCATTTAGATGCATGCTCTTCCACAATATTTTTCTATAGTCAATATTTATTCAAGGGGACTATGAATTGAGCAGGCAGTATAAATTTATGTTGCATGTCGTGAAAGAATGATTGAACTTTTTCTTGGGGTGTATGTAGTTTTATCTCCTGTATCGGGAATATTGTCACCAAAAGAGTAGACATCTTTATATCTTGAGAATTGAAGCTGCATTTTTACCTTTTGGGAATTAACGTGACTACTTGTACTTGGTAGTAAACTGTTGTCATTACAAATGAAGGATTATCAATGTGATTTAACATGTAATATTGCTGCTCCTTTTTCAGATTGCCCTTTGGATTTTACTGGTTCAAACTTTACGCTGGCATCCTCTCTGTGCTCTAACCAAGGTGACAGGGGAAAATGTTGCCGCTACATTAATGCTAACATTGCAATCTCTATTGCGCGCTTTGCTAATGCAACAAGCAACCTAGGAGTCCCTCCAAATGCCTCTGACATCTGCCTGCAAACCATAGCTCAAACCTTGCAACTTTATGGAGTTTCACGAAATGCAACAGTTTTCTGTGGTTTTGGGACAAAAATTCCCGTTAATTATGAATGCAAAGGGAGAACTAGTGTTGTCCACATGCTGCAATCCCCCAGATTTATGGAGGTCACAAAAAGTTGCAAAGTACCACTTGGAGAGGAAAGTAAATGTAAGAAGTGCTTAAATGCTGGCATTGGTTACCTGCATCATCTAGGGATTGAAGATAATATAACACTGAGCACATGTCGTGATGCCACTTTTGCTGCACTAGCAAGCCAAGTTGATGTGATATCTACTATTGACATTGCAAGTTGTTTCTTTGGGGTTCAGGGACTTCTCAGATCTCCTGGTAAGAACAGTTTCATTTAAAATTAGAAGTTTAATGAGAACTAGTATGATGCTCTCCCTGTTCAGGTCTCTGTGTTCATGAGTTCGTTCCTGCGATAATGCTGCAATATACATTATATAATGACGTGTGAGAGTTATTATGATGTGAAGCAAGCCAATGCCAATAAGATAGGATGAGATCTCCACTTTAGAATGTTGTAGATCCTTTTCATAATAGGTCTCACTAAGCACAAGTCCCTTTCCATTGTTATTCCAAGACAAGAATAGAAACAAAACACAAAATTCATTCTTAAACTGTATTATAAAGGCTAGTTGTAGCTATTAATGTGTGCCAAATGACTGCTCTTTTGTTATCATTTTATTCTATTAAATATTTGTTTCATTCATACAATGAAATCTGTCAATTGCTACTGATGGAATATCACTTTTGTGACCATATTTTTGCACTATAATGCTAGTTTCAGAGTCATCCCCGTCCTTGCCTGCTCCTAAGCCTTCTCCAAGCCCACTGGTTGCTGATGGCCCAAGTCAGCCATTGTTAAGTGCATCTTTTAAGAGAAACCACCGTTCATATCATTTGACATTAGTTCCAGGTATTGCTATTGCAGTTACAGCTGTTGCTGTTATCACGCTCATAGTCTTGATAGTTCTAATTCGCCAGAAAAGCAGAGAGCTAGACGAGCCTGATAATTTTGGTAAAACTCGTTCAAAAATCTTACCTCCTTGTGCAACATGGAAATTTCAGGAAGGTAAGACTCTGATTGATCGTACTTCTGTTTATTTTCTTTCTTAGCAGTGGTATATCAAAACCAGGGCTTTATTTTTATTCTTACTTTGCTTACTGTTTGGGGTGGGGCTTTGGGGGTGTGTGGGGGATGGATTGGTTGTGCAGGTTCTTCATCTATGTTCCGAAAATTTAGCTACAAGGAGATAAAAAAGGCAACCGAGGATTTTAGCACCATCATTGGCCGTGGGGGATTTGGAACAGTGTATAAAGCTCAGTTTAGTGATGGCCTGGTTGTAGCGGTAAAGCGGATGAATAGAATCTCTGAGCAGGGAGAGGATGAGTTCTGCAGAGAAATTGAGCTTCTAGCTCGGCTGCACCACCGGCATCTTGTTGCTTTGAGAGGCTTTTGCATTAAAAAACACGAGAGGTATCTATTTCTGCATGCTTATCATGTTCCTTGACACCATCCATAAAAAAATCAAACCTTTCTGCATCTCTATGGCAGGTTTCTGTTGTATGAGTACATGGGAAATGGAAGCTTGAAAGATCATCTTCATTGTATGCCTCTCATTATCTATACAATCATCTTCGTTGTATGCTTCTCAGTATCTGTACATTGTTTTGAATAACATATTAGAATAACATTTGGTACTCAGATTACAAATGCTTCTCAGTATCTGTATATTGTTTTGAATAACATATTAGAATAACATTTGGTACTCAGATTACAAATGGAACTTCTATCTTCCTCTCTCATGCTTGTATTCTTGTATTCATTTTCATGTGGATCTTATGTGCTTTTATGCATCTTTTTCTAACTTGGCACTTTCGACCATACTGAACCTGTCAATAAAACATACTATGCAACAAAATAATAGCATTAAAGTAGTGAGGAAACAGAAATGTTTTAGCTTGTTTCCCCTTTATTAACCCCTTAATCTCATGTGATATATTTTCTTGATTTGTTCAGCCCCTGGTAAAACACCTTTAAGTTGGCGAACCAGAATCCAAATTGCCATTGATGTGGCCAATGCACTGGTAATATCTCTGATTGATTGGTTAAATTTCAAGCTTATCAATTACTGGCTGACTGCTTTAAATCTTTTTTTTTTTTTTTTTTACACTTTTATTTTATAGATCTAACTTTTCGATCTCATGTTCTCTCGTATGCAGGAGTACCTCCATTTCTATTGTGATCCTCCTCTGTGTCACAGGGATATTAAGTCTAGCAATACTTTATTGGATGAGAACTTTGTTGCTAAGGTTGGATGATTTTCACACTGCATGTCACCATTTCTCCTGTTAATATTAATTCTTTCTGTAGTCAGAGAGTTCAACACAGTGCAAAATTTGTATGATGTTATATATCAATTGAGCAACCTACACTCGCGTATCAGATGCTGCTAAGTATTAATTACTTTTTTCTTAATTGTGCTATTTCACAGATAGCTGATTTTGGCCTTGCACAAGCCTCAAAAGATGGTTCAATATGCTTTGAACCTGTAAACACCGAAATCCGGGGAACTCCGGGTATAAAATTCTTTCTTCATCACTTAGCTGATTTTGTTCTTGTATGTGATTCAACCCCGGGACTCTAGCTATAAACCTGCATTAACAATAATGAATTTTGTTTGTTAACTTCAATTTCAGGTTATATGGATCCTGAATATGTTGTTACTCAAGAGCTCACTGAGAAAAGTGATGTATACAGTTTTGGGGTGTTACTACTAGAAATTGTGACAGGAAGAAGAGCTATTCAAGATAATAAGAACTTGGTAGAATGGGCGCAACCATACATGGCATCAGAAACGAGATTATTGGAGCTAGTAGATCCCAGTGTGAGGGAGTCACTTGACTTGGATCAGCTCCAAACAGTAATCTCTATAGTAGGATGGTGCACTCAGAGAGAGGGAAGGGCACGGCCTTCAATAAAACAGGTACTGAGGCTTCTGTATGAGACATCAGAACCAATGCACAGTGAGTTTTTACAAGCTGTTGAAGACGAAGAATGTCAGGGAACTCAGCACAGAGGCAGAAGAAGCAAGGGAAAAATGCTCCGAAATGAAGCAATGTTTCTCAGTGGAGATGGAAGATATCTCGCTTCATCTTCAAGTACATCCCGGTCATATTGCAGTAGAAGCTTTTTACTTGAGACTGGTTCTCCACAATCCCCGCCAAATATGTTCTCAGTCTGAAACAATCTTTAGGTTCTTCAAATTGACTTCAATTTGTCATTTACTCACTGACTTCCAACTTGTGGATTTTTGTGAAGTAGGAAAAACTGTTAGACCGTCCGTATATTAAAATCTTGGGAGAGATGAGCAATATAGCACTTTCTTTGGTTCTATCATCCGCATTGGCTTGCTGTTGCACATAGTTTAAAGAAGCATGGGCAATGATCATCGTTATACCATTTTTTGAGAAACTGTTTTTAAGATTACCTTTCAAACGTACAATACCTGTAACCGAGGCTTTTCCGGTGACAGATTTCAGTTTCGTATGCAATCAAATTTCCTTTTTGCTAGGCTTGTTTCCAAAGGGGGAGCTCCAGGTTTAAGTCCCGGCATAAGTGTACATTTAGAAAACCTTGATAATAATGTCGTGAAAGTTATAATTTCTAGTGTTGGAATGAATTTTCATTTGAATAGATTTATGTCAGTCCAAACACACCATGAGTAGTTGTAAATTTGCAATACATAAATCCTGTAACTTCCTTGAACAAGGTTCTCACTCTGCTGGCAGGCTGGTTGGCCCTGCTACCCTTTTTTGGGGAGACAACCTTCTGTGACATTAGTAGCATTGGTAGACAATGGTATTAAACCAGTGAGTCAATGAACTTCCTGTTTTTAATATGCAAAATCATATTTGTTGAATTTTTCAAGTTATGTATCCAGCTAATTCCCTTCCTACCCACCCAAAAGTAATAAAGACAATAAAATTGAGCAGTTTCAGGGTATAATTCTTAAAATTAAATCTTTATATATATATATATATATATATATATATATATAAGGACAGTCCCTATAGTTTCTATTTATTAAGATAGTCAGTAATGGCCACAATCAATCAACAGCCCCTGAAATTTCTAGGAACAGAACCAAAAAAAGAATGTTCAACTAGAAATTAGTATCACGATAAGTTAACAAGTATGGAAAATTTGTATAGAATCTTTGGATACAAGATAGAAGTACAAAAGCTACTACTTGTACATGTCTCCCGACTAGTGTAAGTAGCTAATCGGGAAAGAACACAGAAATTTTAGGAAAGATTAAAATACATGCAGGACAGTGACTATAAAAAAAACACATACGCCCAGCATATCTTTACAAGACTTCTAAGGAATAAATAACCTGAAAATGATGAGGTTGCTAGTGAAAGACCATAAGTTTAAAACACAAGAAAGGTTAAAACAAATTGTAGTCCCTTGCGCAAGTTCACTTAACTACCCACAGCAGCCAGGAATTTTCTCTTGCTTACTGGTTCCTCATGCAACACTACCACATCCCTCACCTTCTCAAACAAATCTTCCAACTTGTCCACACCAAATCTCTTATATTCCAGTTGTTTCTTGTACCGCTGCTGGTATATAGCCTCAAAACAACCTAAGAATATTCTACATGAATAGCTTACAAGAATCTCTTGCAGCTCATACTTGAACTCCTCGAGAAAATGGTCATCAATTTCACATTTGGCTGCTCTCCCATGATTGCCCTTTTGTGCACAACTTTCATCGTGTTCTTCTATGACTACTCTTTCTTCATCTGAGAACTCATCTGAAGAGCAGCCACCAGTGACAACATTCACATTCTCTTCCTGGGCTCCCTTTCCTTTCTTATCTTTCTTTGCCAGAGACAGAGGAGGAGCACTTGGGCTAGCCTTCCAGTTTCTTAGATACACAAATTTGCGATGCCCTTTCCCTTCCACAGCCATGGCATCACCCATCTTCTTGAAAAGATTGACCAACTTTATTGCCCCATATTCAGCTACATAAAGAGGTCTCCCATAAATTTTCTGGTACTCTGCTGGAACTCGGGGCAGAGGCAGGCATCCTCCAGAAAGTTCAAGCAACCTTACCAGCTGCCCCTTGAGACCATTTAAATCCCCAGGTTGTACCCATAACTGACATTCATTATGGTCACTTGAAGCAATGGGTCCTCCTGAAACATCATTCAATATAGACGGAAGGCTATGTGATCTCAAAGTTGTTGGCACGCAAGGAAGGTTTGATGTGCCACAGTTGTATTCAGACAGAGATTGCGGCACCACTGAGAATTCCCTTGAGTTATAATAGCTCTGCGACATCCCTCTATAAACTATTGCTTCTTCATCATTTTGTCCATCAGAGTTGTCATTGATATGGCACCCCATCAAATATCCAGCAAGCTCAATTGGAGCTCCACGGGGTGGCACTAAAGCCTTTGAGGGGGGCACAAAGCCTTCTCCACGAGCCACACTAGGCCAGTCCCAGACAAATTTACCAGCATTGCATAGGGCAGAAGAAACTCCCACCCCAGCAGGGATGACAAGAATTACAGTATATCCCCGCTGACCAAGAATGTGAAGAGCTGGAGCAAAATCAACATCTCCAGATATAAGCATGATAGAGGATGGAGGAGGGTTGTCAAGTGCAAATAAGAACATGTCAACCAAAATAGCTTTGTCAGCAGCATCTTTTCTACCATTGGGAACATCAATAAGTTTAACACCAGTTCTCTGACAGCCTTCTCTAAGTCGCCTAGGGAAAGCATTGAAATCCCCATAAGCAGAAAACATCATAACAGCTCCTTTAATTACTGGGTGCACCCGTAAAGCCATTCTTATATTACCTGCCACATCTTCAGGGCGTACATCACTTGGAACAGGACAATTTTCAATATCCCAAAGGATTGCTACTGGGCCATCTAAGGAGTTATGGATTTGTTGGTTTAACGGACATTGAACAATGTTTGCATTTGATTCAGTCACAGTGTTCCCCTTCTGTTCCAAAGAGTCTAAAGATATCATTGGTGTTGATTTACTTGGGGTAGCCATCAATGCACTAGAAAATCAGATGTGCCTGCACAGAATGGAGTGAAGACACCATTAAACAAAATAGATTTTCCCCTTCAATCAGAACCAGGTTAAGACTTAAGAGTCTCAATTTTAGGAACAATCAAGTATCAACACTTGCTACCAATTACATTAGGGCATGAAGCAGAACTGCCTGGATGTATCCAATGCAAGATATCTACTAAACAGATTGCACAGTGCAAAACAATGGCAAGGATATCAAACTAAGGACTACGAAGATTCTTGAACATACTCAAAAGTCATAAAATGATTTCTATACATCACTCCATTTTACATGCATCAGTCCAATCCATCTATTTAACCTATATTAGAGAATAAGGGTTTATCATAAGGGTCTATCATCACTTAATGATGTCCCCCACTGAGTGATTGAAAATTTAAAATCGAAAAATCCCAAGTCTCAACCTGCAGCATGGCATACATTGAATCAAGATTTCAATTCCATTAAGATCAACATGAACAACCCAAATCAAAAGAAACACACCTTACGCAATTTCTAACACTTATCCCTACAACAAAGATACTCAAAACGCTAAACCAGTGAAAATTTTCGAGTTCCACAAACCTAGGTCTGGCAACGCAAAATTCAGAGCAAAGAAGTCCCATTAGGAAAAAACATGTAATTGAACAGAAAACAGAAATATTCCTTCCAAAATGCTCATCTTTACAGGCTACTGAGCAGAAATTGTTCCAATCAAAACCAAATCGGCGCAGAAGTTTGGACTTTTACAGGAAAAAGCAGGGAACTCAAAACCCAAAAATATCACAGCAAGGCTTATCCGAAAGATATATATATTTTTTATTTGGAAAAATAAAAGAAGGGGTAAATGAAGAAAATAAATAAATAAGTACCAATAATTAGTAGCAGTAATTGGAGAATTATTGAGGCGTTTAATGGGGAATCAAATCGGATGCTGAAGAAACATGAATCCGCGTGAAATTTCCTAATTGAATGATGAATCCCCCAAGATTATTGCGGAACAAGAAACGCGTGATTATTGACAGAGAGAAGAAACTTTGTGTTGAAGAAGGAACAAGAAGTTGGGTTTGGTTGGTGGGTTTCTTTTATTCTGAGATTTTACTTTCTGCTGCCCAAAGGACTGAAAGTGATGAAGGATTATGGTCATTACTCTCTCCTCACATTTAAGGCGATTGCAAATTCAATTGGATTTATTTTAACTAAAATATTATTTAATTTTATTATAAAAATATGTTCAAGTTCAGTTTAAATTAGTTTTAAAAAAATTAAACGCAATTCATTTTAATTAATTAAAAATTTATTTGTCTAGACAAAAAAATTACAAACTATTTGGATCAGATTAGACAATTCATTTTTATAAATTTTTAAAATTTAGATAGAAAAAGATAAATAAATCATTTTATTCTTTTTCTTACATTCGTTTTATGAAAATATAAATGTACTATAAAAATAACTTTAAATTAATATAAATGAATAAATTTATAAATATATTAGAATAATTAAATTGAATCCATAAAATATATCTAAGAAGCCCACACGGCCTTCACAAGGAAAATAGCCACAAGAAAGCAAATGCGCGTGCCCAGCTCTAAATAAACAATTTCGGGCCTGTTTTGTTTCAAAAACAGTTGTTATATATACCTTGTGTTTAGATATCTAACAATTAGTTGGATTTTATTTTTAAAACTAAAATATGCACTTAAAAATTGAGATTTTTAAGAAAATTATCTTGTATTACTTAGCCCAAGTACTTGTTGACATAGGTCAACCTATTATATTATTATCATCAAATTTATAATATATTACGATTATATACTTATTCTATTCAAATACTAAAGTATATGAATATACATGCAAGTTTAAGCACATTAATTTATTTAGCAATATGTTTATAATCCATTTTAAATTTTTATTGTAAAATAGGCTTCTAGAGCATGTCAAACTTTTTCAAAAATCGGTCAAGCCTTAAAAATGATCTTTATTAAAATGAATTTTAATATACATGCAAGTTTTTTACTGTCCTCATAAATATTATATTTTTTATTTATTTTTACTAAAATGACTGATTAAATAAAAAAATGTGATATTTAAAGGGATTAAATAAAAATAATTAAAAATAGGAAACTAGATAAGAAAAGAAATTAATTAAACTAATTTTTATTAGAAATTCAATAATAAGACTAAATATAGTCTGATATTACGTTAACGCTGAATTTGGCCTAACTTCCAAAATTAGTTTGAAGGAGATAATTTGTCCAGTTTTCAAAGTACTGTTTTGGTCATTTAGCAAATATAAAATATTTTAACAAATTTTAATTAAAAAGGTGTTTATTATATAATAAACACATTATGATTTAACCTCTACATTATAATTAATTTAATTAAAATATTGAAGTTTTAAATAATGACCTGAAAAATTCCTTCTAAACAGTATAGAAATCTTTAAACTAATACTATATTAAAATTAAAATAAATTATTTAGTACTTTTTATATTTTTTTGAAAATTGTTAATTATTCATTACTTTTATAATTTTTATTTATGTTAATTTTTCTTTTATGTTAAGATTTTAAAATTTTAATTTTAATTATTTTTATAACTTTCCTTTTTTATTACAATTTACTTTTTCATCTCAAGTTTTAATTATTTATACCTTGAAATTGATTTTTTACTTTTCTTAATAATTTAAAATATTTAATCTAAATCTATTTAATGCTCCTTAACCTATATACCTGGTATATGAGATTAAAAAAAAATCAAATTTCTAAATTACATTGATTACTCAAACCAACTTTCAGAAATTTTTTATTTCTGATTTTAAAAAGGTATTTTAATGATATTTAAGTTTTCTGAAGTGAGAGATTTACTTTTAGATAGCAAAACAACCAATTAGTCTTTGAGTGAAAACCTGTCGTTTAAGATTGAACAATTGCATAGTTCATAGTTCACTATACAAATGTTAGTATTTGATCACTATCTCAACCGTCTGTCACACACATGCCTGGGCGAATGACACCTTGCCTAACACCGGAATCCCTATATGTGAACGGTAGATTGTGTGGTAATCAAAATAGCCTCTCAGGGTAACAAGTACTGCTCAAATAAATCAACAAAAGAGCAGTCAAATTCACTGATATTCTTCGTAGTTAAAAAACATTCATTAAAGCCCATCATTGGCAGTCTCGCCCCTAAATAGAAGTATACAATAACAAAAATATGTACCATTCTCATCAATGTTTAGTAGACTCAAACTACTCAGAATTCAACCAAAATCAGTATAATCCGAAAGGAAATGTTTATAGCCATTCTGCACTGATCCATGTTTAGGACTTCAACACCCTTTCTAGTATGATTAGTCTCTCGTTAGGATGCAGGTAAGTTTGTATTTAAGTCAACGCTGATAATTGTAGTTTCTTTATAGGTTTTCTAACGTGCTTATTTACAGTGTGACATTTCTGGTCATTTTTAAACAACAAAACCATTGATACACAGCCTTAATTTCAGTCTTCATTACTTAACATATCTGTGTCTGTGTTGAGTGAGTTCAAAGCACTCATGTTGCCAGCATGCTCTGTCGCAATGTCATCAGTTGTAGTCAGAACACAAGTACTGGGTGCCAGAAGCTCAGAAGGAAACGAGGGTAGGAAGGAAGGGAGGAATGTCAACGAGAAAGGAATCACTGAACTAACTCCAACTAAATACATGACAACAAAATACGAGAAAATTTGTTTGCTGATAAATTAGTCAAGCGCTGAGAACATGAATCAAAGTAGACAGCATTTATTTTACAAGAGCAAATAGGCATCAACTCTAACTAGTAATGAATAAAATAATCAAGTAGGCATCATGCAGCTTCTTGCACATTTAAATGAGCAAAGAACAAAAGCATCAGAGAGGTCCTTAGTTTTAATGCTCCTGATTTGTAGTCACAAAAATATATCACCAAGAAGGGACTTGTAAACTGGTTTTGTAGGTCTTCTAAGCAAAAAGCAATATAATTTAAGATAGCAAACCAGACTTAGCTGCCTGTATCCGGGTGCAGTCTGCAAAGCACATTTTTCTCATTTATCATATTGAAATTTACATATTCCTTCAAGCAAGAATCCAGAAGAAAGTCAAACCAAACCGAAGTGCAACATAGACAAGTTCAATTGTCTCTTGCAACATCTGAAAACCAAAAAGATTTCCGGCAAGGCAAACATCAAAATGGTCTGCTTCAAAGCAATGAATCGAGAATGCACTCTTCAGGCAATATTATAAATGCTACTAGGGCCGTTGAAAATAGAAAACTAGGGTCACAAATTCTCCCACATGCTGAACAAAGCTAAATAACACCAAGTGTAATGAGATTTCCACACATCTACCACAACCCAACATAAAACCATCCATATAAACACTAAGTCCATTTAAATTGAACCCAGAGGAATAAAACAAATAACATCAACACACGAATAACATTTGAATCAAGTGACTTAGACATTGTAGATCCAGATCAAACCAAAAGAACCATTTCTTGAGTAACCATGTATAATAAAATGAAATAGGTAACAATGCTCAAGAGGTAGTATTTACATTCTAGCGTCCACAAACACTATCAACCGTGGAAGCTGAAAATTGCATACATCTTGAAGCATCATCAATATTAAATCAAAATATTTTCCCCAATCCTCACCCCAGTCAAGAATTAGAATTATGAATTTTCTTAGCCATGGTAGCTAATGTGCTACGCAAAGCCAAAGCCTTGGAAGACACAGGACTCTCCTCCTCCAATGCACAAGGCTCACTATTATCACTACATCTTTGAGTCCAATCTTCTAATCCAGAAGCCAAAGCAGAAAAATCCTCCCTCATCAACAACCCATTATGAAGAATGGAACAAGCCCCAATATAAGCCACAACCATCTTAATCTCCTCCGTAACGGGTCGACTCAGAACACCCCAATTCCTCAAGCTAGCAGCGGTTCTGAGTGCAGGAACACGCATAGCCTCATGAACGGCGTTGAAATTCTCCTCAACGGAACCGTTAACAGGGTTCACAAAAGGAACAATAAGCCAAGGAAGCAAAGGGTACCCAGAATCAGCAATAAGATACTGATTAACGGCGTTAAGGGGAGGAGCGTTAAGGAGTGTCCCTTCTTCAATGTCGTTGAACAAAGTGGACGACTTGAGGATCCGAGAGTCGCTCTTGTGGCCAAGGAAGCCAGCGACGATGGTGAGAATCCGAAAAGAGGAATCGACGACAAATTGAGCGGCGACGGAGGAGGTGGAAGAGTTGAGGACTTGGAAGCGGGAGCACAAAACGACGCCGCAGCAATTGGGGATGCCAGAGAGGGTTTGAAATGATTGGGAAATAGAGGAAAGATCGTTGGAATTGGGGAATGAAACCCAGAAGCGGAAGTTGGTGCAGAGAACCCTGCAGAGTTGTTTGACGCAGAATTTGGCAACGGAGAGAGAGACGCGGAATTGGGTAGAGATTTGGGGGTAGTCGGAGCCGGTGGCGAGGCGGAAGAGTCCGATGCCGAGGCGGATGCCGGCGGAGAGGTTCAACGGAAAGAGCTCGGCAGGGTCGCGGCAATCTAAGAGGGGTTCGAGTAATCCTGAGAGCCACTCGAAGGTGGAAGAGGACATCATGAAGGTGTTTCGGAAGGAGTCGGGGCTCCGATTGTGGAGACCCGGTGGAAACGGGTTCTGTTGAGCAGAGCGTTTGCGTTTGCGTTTGCGTTTGCGTTTGGGGAGTGTGAGAGAGAGGGTTGCGGCGATTTGGTGTGAGAAGAGGAAGTGGTGAACGAGGGGGAAAGTGGAATCGGTGGAATCGAGAGGGTTGGAATTGGGAGGGAAAATGAGGAGAATTAAGAGGATGAGTTGGGAGACGAGGGTCGAAAGTATAGCCGCTAAACTGCGAGGGTGCATGATGATGATGATGCTGATGATGTTGTTGTTGATGAAATGAGAATTTGGGAACGCGAATCGAGGTGGGTTATTGAATCGGTAAAGTCAAGAAATTTTGTTCTCAGAGAAAGACTGTCTGACACAAGTGCCCTTTCATTGGCTCCAACCGTATCACCAACCTTCCATTTCGGCGCCTCCCTCCCCTTTTCGAACCTTCTATTGCATCCGCACGTGCCATACTACTCTATCATTATTCTTTCTCTCTTTTTTTTTTTTTACCTTTCTTTATGCTTCCCAGATTTATATTTATCTTTTTTTACAAGAAATAAATTATTTTCTAGCTCATATACAACATTTCTTTTTATAATTTAGTTTTTATTGATAAAAAATTTATATAACATTTTTTATATAAAAATTATTTTTAATCTTATCTATACTATTATAATATGACGTTATCTTTTATGTAACATACCGTTATTTAACATGACAAGTTTAAATTGTCTTTTAGTTTTTATGCTAGATTTTTTTTTGTAATTCTTCTTATAAATTGTTTGAGGTAAGAAAAAAATTTTAAGTTATAAAATTATATTGAAAGATCCCCTTTTCAAGGAGTTTTGAGTTTAGAGAAGAGCCTTTACATGTTAAAAAATTATAAAGAATCATGAAAAGTCTCATTAGAGAGATCATATTTCAAGTAGTTTTGAAGAAACATAAAACAACTCATTGTTGCTCGAAAAATAGGAGCAACATGAAAATATTCTAAGTTCATAGAACTAGAGGCTTTTTTCGAGGAGTTTTTGAGAAGTTTTCAAGTCTTTTACACTTAAAACTGTTTAAAAAATAGGACTCATAAGAAATTATTCTTAGTCCACAAAATTGGAGACTTTTTTGAGGAGTTTTCAAGTCTCTCATACCCAAAACTACTCAAAAAATAGGACTGTCAAGAAATTATTTTAAGTTCACAAGATTGGAGGTCTTTCAAGGAGTTTTTAGAGAGTTTTCAAGTTCTTGACACCCAGAATTTGTCAAAAATGAGATGTAGTAAAAAAAATATTTTAAGTTTACAAACCTGTCTGAGCTTAAGATCTTCCTAAAATTGCTCGAAAAACAGAAAGTAGACAAAAAATATTCTAAGTCCACAAATTTGGTTGAGCTCCAGATTCCTTACAGAATTGTTCAAAAAATAAAAATCGAAGGAGAAATTATTTCAAGTCCATAATGCTAAATGAGCCCCTGAGACTTCTCTCTGAAATTGCTCAAAAAAACCAAGAAAACAAAAGAAAAAGATTCCAAGTCCATAAGAGACATGAAAATATTCAAGAGCTATTACAAAGTTCAAAAGCAGTTACTAGTTGCTACCCCGAGACGAAGGTTCAACAACACGAAGCAGGATTGTGGGTGATAACAGTTATGAAAGAAATCGCAAACCGACAGCACGATCAAAGTCAATCACAGATAATGGACAACAGTTGAAGGTAGTTACTAAAAACTGCCCGTAAAAAAGGGAGAACAGTAGTAGTCCTCCTGCCTATAAATACTTCAAAACTTCATTTTATAAAGGATAACTTTTTGCACACAGACACCACATCTAAAATTCTGCTGAAAACCTGCACCGCTTCAAAAACCAGCTCTCTAAAGACACACGGTTACTGTTGTTCGTTGTTGCTAAGGAGTCGTACGTTTATTTTCCTGCACATTTATGTTTTTGCATTCGTTTTAGTTCGTTTTTGCTTATTTCTTTTCTTGCAATTTGGTTCTTGTTTAGCACATCTCTATAAAAACCTCTATGTTTGATTAAATTCTGTGTAATCATTATTTGCTATTTATGTTTAATCAACTACTTTACAACGTCAATTTAAGCGTCACGTTAACAACACACTTAAAAGAATCTAATATGACCTAAATTCAATCCCCAGATTACTCTTGAATTATTTGTTTATAAATTGTCATTTTTCACCATAAACATAAATATAAAAAATTATTTTTAATTTCATTTCTATTGTTATGGTGACATTTTTCATATCATTATAAAGTAACATTTTTTTATTATCTTAAAGGAGTAGAGACGATAAGCTTCATTATACAAGCTAATATATAAAACTTTTTATATACAGGAAAAAGATTTGTATAACACTTTTTGTACAAAAATTTATTTTCAATTTTCTCTCTACTGCTATAATATGTTATAACAAAATTAGTTCTATCTTCTATGTGACAAATGACTATATTGTCTTTTAATCCTTAACTAGACATTTTTTATATTATGTTTCATACTTTTTTAGTTCATGACGACGAGTTTTATTATATAAGTTAATGTCTTTTTGCTTTAAATATGTGTAAGAATCATTCTAAAATAACTTTATGTCTTAATTTGTCTTTACATCAGCATTACTTTTAGTATTTTTATTTTAAATCTTAATATTTGTCTACTTTATCATATTCTCATAATAATTCCTATTGTTTCTCCTATCGTTCTTATTCCATGTTATTTTTTTAAGATAGTTAATCTGTTGTATAAATAAATAAAAATGATATGGTTTTGATTTTCTTATAAATGTACTAGGAATAAAATTATTGACTTTGGGCATGATTCAATTGGACATGATCAAAATTGAAATATTGGAATAAAAAAGATAAGAAAATAGATGAAAATTATAATGAGATATGATGGAGCAAACAATTAGCAATATTGGAGATAAAAATGTTGGAGGTAATGTTCATGTAACAATAAATCAAAACATGATGTTAGATGTGAAAAAAATATGAAGTAGAATATGAGACTTATTTGAAGAATCTTGAATACTCCTCTAAAGATGATAAGAAAACATTACTTAACCCTGAAATAAAAACGTCACATTGGGATAAAATTAAAAATAAATTTTCTTATAAGAACTAATATGCAATTTTTTAAAGTTGAATAATTGTTTAATACATTAGAAAAGAGAGTAAACATTGATTAACTTATCATAATAATAGAAATTAATATACAAATTTTTTACCTATAAAAACTAAATTATAAAAGTAAGTACTGTGTAGAGACTAAAACATCATTTATCCTTTTTTAAAAATATAATTCATTTTATTCCTTTCTTTTAAAATTATTTTTTTATTTTTAAATAATTTTAGTTATTATCTATTAATAGTACAACGTGTACGTTGATTTTTTTTTTAACATGTTTCTAAGAAAATATATTAAAAACTTGTGTTAGTTCTAAATTGTAATTAATATAAGATAAATAAATACATGTTCTATCATTTTTGCATAATAGTTTATATTTATAAAAAATATTTAAAACTATTATTACCGTTTCATTTCTTTTTCTTAATAAAATTAGAATCTCACTGTGACATCCTTAATTTCTTATTTAGTTTATATAATAATTATGATGAGATAGAAAAAGTAAATAGATTTATTATATATAAATTAAAACTTTCTTGTAAATAAATTAATTTATAAAAAATATAAAGGTATTAAAAATAACAAAAGATAAATGATACCTTTATAATTAAATTTATACTGAAACAATAAAGAAATGTACATATATTGAATTTCATTTACATGCAAAAGTTTAATATTTATAGATTATTTTCAAAATATATATTAGAACTTAGTCCACATAATTAAAATATAAAAAATAATATAAGTATTAGATAGCGTTCAATATCCACCAAAATATTGAGGACACGATCCTAGTCATCGCCCTCGAATCAGTCCTCTATCTCTGTCAGTTCTTCCGGTGTCAACTCCTCCTCATAAGGATTTCCAACATCAATAACGACCTCGATACCTGTTATCAGCTCTCAAGTAAAAGTACTTGATCTTCCCATCTGATCATGGTCGTGAAAAGTGTACATGTAGTTCACCGCATCTAACGTCTAAACCATACTTCTGTGTATGTATAAGTTAAGTGTATGGTGAATCTTACCATTAGCAAGGTAATAAAAAAGAATGTGATACCCTATAATCTCTAAAGTAAGCACATTATTGAATTCATCATCATTATTTACAACAAATTTATAGTGGCAGAACTACTGGCACTCTCTAAATATATAATTTAACCTACTATTTACAAATTATTCTACTAGTTTAATGAGTCTCCGAGGGTCTGTCATCCTTATTCCTTGCAACCATTAGTAAAGATGAGTTCTCTCCTCACTACTAAAACATTATCAATATATTTTTATATCAAAACACTAACAACACATTAGAAAAATATTACAACACATATAATTCAGCCATATAGTTAATGAATCTTTCTTCCTCAATTACACACTTCCTCGTGTACTGTGATCACATATATTCGATGCCTCAACGCTTTATAAGATTTTACACATACAAGTAAATAGTCGTTGGTTAACTCATGCACACGGATATAATGTATATAATAGAAAGTCTCTTAGCAAATGTATAGTCAGAAGTTTAGTCAGAAAACGAGTATGAGATCATGTGACATATTCACTCTCAGGTAGATTGTGTACACACACGAATGTTGTTTACCACCCTATATTTTTTCTAGATTTCTAAAATCATTTCCGAACTCTATACTCCTAGTGTACCACTGTAACTGTTCACATAAATTCCTTCATCACTTCTTACTTATAATATACTCCCTTTTATTTCATTCTCATCATTCAACTAAAAAGATTATGATTACTCAAAACACTTTCAAACTAAGTCCTTATCACATATATTACAGAGATATAGTACAATCATACCAAACCAACCAACATACATAATCAACTTTTCGCAATAGTTGAATAACAATAATATATTTTTAAGCAAAAAACACACCATAACACTCTCATGAGTACAAAATTATTTTGTGTGTTTAATGATGGGATAAAGCTCTCCTTACCTCGAGAAAAAGATTTTGAAGAAGATTTGTAGAAGATATCATTCAAGGGACTAAGTTCTTCCTATAATAAATTTTTATAAAAATTATAGGGTTGAATACATTAAAAATTACACAATAATATTAAATATTATATTTTAAAAAATATATTATTTATGAAATTTTAATTATTTATTTTTAAATTTACAAGTTAAGAATTGAACTTTAAATAAAATATAATTTCTGTAGTGCATTAAAGATTAAGATAGTTTATGTTCTTCTCATACATATAATAATCAAACATTTTAATATTATATTAAATGTATATAATAGATAATAGAGGTTATAATTTATTTTAAAAAGATATAAATATTTTTTAATTTTTAAAATATTAAAATAATCATGATTTAAAATTAATAAGTTAAAATTTGAAATTATGAATATTTTAAATAAAAATATCCATGAAATATCGATTGTAAACTTGTAATTATGATAATTTAAATTAGTATTTTGTGAAATTTTTAATCTGAATTTTATGGATTATAATGGAACAAATAAACGGAACCCTCATATTTCCTTCAAGGTTTATTTTTACTCTTGTTCTAAATCTACTAATAATTAACAAAAATATAATTAAATATATATAATTGATTTATACAAATTTAAGAACTAATATTAAAAATAATTGTTAATTTATACAAATAAAAAATATATCAAACCTCTATTACATTTTTATTAATTTTTTTATAAAATTTTATTGAAAAAATGACTTAATTTATATAGTTAAAAAAATTAGCGAGACTATAAATAAACAATTAAAATAAGGAGTGCTAAAATTGGAATAAATTAACTTTAAAAACTAAAACTATAATATTTTTTATTCAATTTGCATATTTGTAAAGTGATAATATTGCTATTTCCAAAAATTATAAGAATAGAAAAAAAGAATTATAATTTAAATTTACAATAACTTAAAGAGGGACGCAACTTAAAGTATACATTTTTCTTTTCATAAAAATTATTATTTAACGTCTATGTAAATATGAATGTTATCGAATGTGTTTATAGTTCCTCCCCGATTGAAAGGTGCTTTTAATCAAAGGTAAAATGGTGGAATATATATAATATACGTATGGGACTTTCTGCATCCATGAAACTTCAAATTAACACTGCTCTGTGCCCATACCGACTCTGAGTAGTCACTCGTGCTTCTTTTAGTCTTTTTTTAATAGAATTATATTGTAAACTAATAACATTTATAGCATATTTAAAACTATATTTGAATATTTATAAATTTACATTTATTATAACTACTAATCATAGTTTCCGTATTTACAAGTTTTCTAATGTAAAATTTTACTGCATCGATCTGAATGCATTTTGGAGCCCGACATTTTATGACCATGTAACAATTTCTTTATAAATATAATGACAATAACCTGAATGACAATTGCTTTGTATTTTAAATTTCTCTTATTTTTGTAAGGAACCCTGCTCAAGTTTATACAATGATAAATTATGAACCACTATGCCACGAATTAGCTTATTGTTAATTTCTTTGTTGCATGCACATCATTTTTATTTTATTTTAATTAATTCAAACAATATTTGAATCTATTTATCACTCAATCATGCTCTGATACTTTGATGTGTATAACTAGTATAACATTACGGACTAGAATTTTCTTCCGTAAGCCCTGTATTTAGTGTATTTTTTGCTTTCACTTAAACAAAAAATGTAAAAAAATATACTAACTGCACAAGGTATTTCGCGCCAAAGAATGAGAGAATCCTCATCCATTACATTACCTAACAAAAACACTAGTGTTATAGCAATTCTTTCAGACAGCGCTAGGCTCGTTATAATTAACCCAATCAAAGATTCACCAAATCAATAACAAAATGAAAATTTCAGCACAAATATGTAATACTAATTGTGTATAAAATATAAATAATCTTTCGTTAACTAATATAATATAATCATATTAAAAAGAGAGATTTTTTTTTTCAAATAAAAATATACCATGACTGATTGTAAAACCCACTAATTAATATGAACAATCTTACGTTAACTAATATATTTTTTTTATCTCTCCAACGTGAGCATATCATGTTATTTAATAATATGAAAGAATCTAAATCCTTACGTTTACCTTTTTCGGGCTAAAACACGGAAGAGGAAAGAATGCCTAGGGACATCAAATATAATATTTCCAGTTGTAACAAAACATAAACTTGCATAATACTAGTACTAACTATTAATCATATTATAGACCAAGAAAAAATGTTGCAAAGGAAATCCTATTACTTCCTGAGGTCTTATTTATAAGAAATAAATAAATAAGTTATCAATATTAATAAAAGGTAGTTATAAATTTACATTAAATTTTAAAATAATCCATGATATTACATGGTCAAATTGCTTACCTATATATTAAATGAAAAGATCTATTTATTTATATAGTTAATGAAATGAGTGAGTACCTCATCAACATAAATCTTATAATAAATAAAAGTATAAAAAGAATTGAATAATTAATACATTTAAAAGTTTATCTTTGTTTATTATAATTTAGACAAAAAAATATTAATGATTGTTTCTTATAAACAAGACAACAGAATTTTAAAAAAAATATATCACTACTCAACTAGAAGCAAATTTGAATAAAATTAGCATTTTGAGTTGTGTTTAGTAACACAAGTTTATACTTTATTTAGAAGTTTTTAGTTTATTGAGATCAATAAGCTAATGAAATTGTTTACAAAGGAAATGCTATTATCAAATTAATGCATGATATCATTTCTTAGTTATTATAAATCTTAATACAAAACCTACCCAACCGAACAGACAATTTCGAATCCCGTTATTACTTTAAGTTGTGTTTATTAACGCAAATTTGTTTTTTATTTAACAGCCTGTAACTTATAAACACTAAAAAGCCATTAGAACTATTTAGTAAACACAATGAAAAACAACTAGTGACTTTTACAAGCTAGTTTTTAAAAAATTACCTAAATTTGCTTTGAGTTATAAAAAATTAATTACCAATAATTTACTTCTTATTTTTACCCTTAAAGTTTTTAACAATTTACACCCAATATAATTTTATGTCATTCCAGTTATTTAACACATTTCAACAATTTGTTTTAACTAGTTTTACCATTTCAATTAGCTAATAAACTATAAGCTTTCAACTCTCCCCAAATACAAGCTATATAAATTTGCAGTTTAGTCAGCTTTACTAAACAAAACCGTTAAAACACACTACAGAAGCCACGAAACAAAGGACTAATGGTTTAAAAAGGGAAATAAGCACAACAAGGTATAAAATCGTACTTCAAGAATAACAGTCACTGTTCAAATCAAGTATCAAGGAACAATCAAATTCAAATTCAATTATGATATTCTTTATAGCTAAACAAGACCTTTCAAAGGAAATGAAAGAAATTGAAAGTAGAGATTGAAAATGACCATTCAGTACGTAAGCAGTCTCACACGGCCGCACCTATTATGGAGAAAAACTGAAAAAGTACACAAAGTATGTACAAAAGCTCAGCAATGTGGAGGAGTCTGACAAGCTAACTGAAAATTTAACCCAAAATGGATATGACACGCAAGGGCAAAAGTTTATCTCCTTTAATGAGGTTTTGTCTGCACTGATCCATGTCTAAGGCTGGAGCACCCTCTCAATCGCAGCCACATAAAACTCCTTTGGCATGGTACCAATTACAGAATCGCATTTCTGGCCATTTTTAAACAATAAAACCACTGGTACAGCCTTAATTTCATAATCTTCAGCAATTTGGATGTCAGTGTCTGTGTTGAGTATAAAGCACTTGAGTCTGCCAGCATACTCTGTTGCAATCTCATCAATAATCCGGTGGACCATCCTGCATGGGCCACACCAACTTGCATAGAATTCAACAAGGACTGGGGTTTCACTCTTCAGAATTGAACTTTCCCACAGGTCTTTGGTAACTGGTGTAGCTGCCAAATAACAATCTCACATGATTAATAGGCCATATAATGATTAAGGCAACAATACACACATCCCGTGAATGACAAAACTAAAACCAGGACCAATTAAAAAGTAAGCAACACACACATGTGCGTGCAAAGGCATGAGTGCCTTAAATCTCACCGAGTTAAATATTTCAACATAATTCCTTAGTAAGGAGTATATTGCATAGGCAAGAAAAACTTTCTACTCATCAGTTGTTAAAAAATATAAATTAATTCAGATGCCTTCTACATGGTTGGCACTAATCCTTTTCTTCTGTAGCAGAGAGGTGCAAGAGATTATGTTTTTCATTCCTTATGATATTTCATTCAAATAAACAAGCAGTCTGAAAAAGAACAATTTATATATCTTTGAATATACAGCAATGGGGTCAGGTAGCCTAAGCATCCAAGCCTGTTTAACAAAATAGCCATAAGAAGAGGAAGGATGGGGACAAAAGAACTCTCCAATCTCTTCGGATGAGAAATCAAATATGACACTTTCAAGTTTTGCAAAACTCATCCATAATTCAAATGGATCTATTCCAACATCAACTTATATTTTGTGAGTAATTTGGACACGCTTTGCATATTTTGCAACACACATGGTATTCTGCAAAACAAGAGAATAGAACAGGAGAGCTACAATCCTGATTTTAAACAGATTCAAAACGAGCATTTCAACACTTCTATAGAACTTTCCCTATTTTTTTGTCCAGAAATATTTTAAGGACACAGTTGAGTTTATTTCTTGAAATACTGAGACTTAAAATTGTTCTTTTCAGTCGCTCCAAAGCTATCACTGAGCTAAAGTCACATGGTAACACATTCTAGTTCTACAAACAAAACCTAACCTGTAGAATGCAAAAAAGTACAAAAGCCCAGAGAATCAAACAACATAATCTAAAGGGGAAGTATATAAAAGAATCTCTCAACGTTTACAGGCATAGGCAACAGAAAACAAAAACCAGGGCACACAATTGATCAATAAGTAATCATCCACAACTCCATAACAAGAAAGCATTATGAACGAGATTCAAGAAAGCATTAATATAAAGTGATGGATCAAAACCTATTACTACCTCTAAGTATTACTATTCTTGTTCTGAAACTTCTATTACCAAATCAACGAATACAAACACAAACCAAATAAAAGCGTTTCCAGGTGAGATAGAAAATAATAATGATAATTTGGTAAGGACAGAAAAGCAAAAGAAGAAAACCTCTGGTTTGGTGACGCGAGAATGGAATCTTGGGGAAAAGAAGAGGGTTTTGGAGTTGAAGGGATCTTTGGGGGATCCGCAAATGGACGGGAAATGAGGGAAGAGGGTGTTGCTGGGAATGGGAAGAAGAACAGAGGATGGGTTTCTGAAGGGGAAAAGAAGAGGCGAGAGAAAATGAAGCCATTGAAGAGAGAGAGAGAGTGACACGTTGTTAGAGAAGACAAAAAGCAAACAATAAAAAGACGAGCGAGGGAGGGAGAGAGTGAGTTAAAACGGCGTGGAATTGCGACTATTCGCGTTTCTCTTCACACTTTTCTTGCTTCCGTTCTTATGTTTCAACTTTATGAATCTATTTATATCATTTTTACATATATCAATTTTTAATTACGTCATGTTGCACTTCTAACTTTTGTTTATCTACACTCTATACACTTTCTATCAATTTCAACCCTTGTCTTTATGCTTGAGATAAGTAACTAAAAATCTATTTTTGCTTATAAAAAAAAACTAAAAATCTATTTATTATTTTCATAATATAATAATATAGTTAATATATTATTAATCCAAACTATTAGATTTTAAATGTTTAAATTCAATCTTAAAATTTAAAGTTAATAAAAAATCAAATATAAGTCACGCTTTCATGAATAGTTATAATTAATTTTTGTCACTGTAACATGTGCTTTAATTTAAAATTTATGACATATATTAATTCAAGTATATTTTTTAACAATTTAGAAATTATTTTATTAAAATTAACTATATTAGGTTCTAGCATAAACAAACTCAAGTAAAAGATCATTGTGTTATCTATTTCTTAAAATATGAAAAATATTGATAAAGAACAAAAGTAATTTAAAAATAATTTTTTAATGTAAAATATTTTATATTATCAACTAATTAAAAATGTTTTAAATATAAATTTCAAAATAATTATTAAATGATCAACCTTTTTAAATTATATGATAATTTATAATTAATTGATAGTGTAAAAAATATATTTTAATTAATTTTTTTACTCATTTAATCCTTTACTAAGATATGTTATGTCCTTTGATGATATTTGATTAAAACAAAACAAAAGCTTTTATTGAAAATTTATTAATTATACCAGACATATTAAATACAGGGACAAAAGGTTTTATTAAAATTTAGGGACAGGAAAAATTTTCAAGATTAGATATATTCCAGACATATTAAATATGCTTTAAATATGATCAGAAAACGTGATTTCTAAAAATATGTATATACACCAAACATTCTCTAAATAAAAATGCAAAAAAAAAAAAAAAAGTTTACTTGGCGGATTCAACTAATATAAACAAAAAGAGACTCACGCCCGGTGGGACTCGAACCCACAATCGCCTGATTAGAAGTCAGGCGCCTTATCCATTAGGCCACAGGCGCCTCTTGAACCATTAGGTTTTAAATGTTATTGAAGGCTTTAAAACAATTTCTCCTCGAATTTTTTTCATTACTATAATTATTAGTTAAATCAATCATGATCCTAATAGAAATAAGTGGATCATGTAATTTAAAGAAAATTAAACTACTGTTAATTCATTAAAAAAGAAAATCAACTTAAATTATTTTAATTGGAGGGCTATAAAAAAAATATTAAGAACATATCAAATAACTTTAGCAAAGTCTAACAGAAGAGTGAATAGTATATAAATAATTTGTAAATTAGATAATTGTAACATTTAAAAAACAGAAGGTAAAAGAATTCAATATCAATGTCGTCATTAATTTTTTATAAGACCTCAAATCTAATCTCCGTCTAGTTAAGATTTTTGAATTTTTTACTTTTCAAGGTAATCATAAGTTATAAATGTGTTTTTATGTCGTTATACTTTATTATTGCTCAAACTTAAAAATCAAGGTGTCCTCAAGGTGGTTGTCACTAATCCAAAAAACTTTTACACAAAAGCTCCTACTAAATAATTTGACCCCACACATGCAAATGCAAAGAAGCTTTCGCCACCCCACCAATAAATTTATGCAATTACATCTTCAATTCCTACTTATGTGTTGGTCCAACTCTTAACGCAAAAGGAGCGTTATTCTTGCATAAGAACCAATCCGCATGCAGGATTTTAATGTGAATCCAAAGTGATTTTTATTATAAATGTAGTTCTCCATTTCACTTGTTCCCTTTTACATTTTGTACCCACCCCTCTTTCTCTTTCTTAGTATCACATATACGTTAGGCTGCGGCATTTTTTAGTGAAGAATAAAGTTTCAACATCACATTCTAAATACACCGTATTTGGTATTTTCAGTGGCACGATTCGAGGAAGCAGAGATGCATAGACCAATGATTCTTCTTGTATCCGCTGGATCAATGATTCCATCATCCCAAAGCCTCGCTGTTGAGTAATAAGGGCTTCCTTCTTTCTCATATGCCTCCACGACTTTCGTTTTGAACTTTTCCTCTTCTTCCTTGTTCCACTGCGTTCGATTTCAAGTATAATGCTCATTTAGACAACCAGAGACAAACGACAAAACAATGAATGTATGTTATCAACAATGAATATATATTTTTCCTCAGTCATATTTTACCTGAATTCCTTGCCTTTTCTTATTGCCTCTCTCTATTTGAGCCAGCACACCAGCAGCCTGATGATCACATTCCAGAGGAAAATATTTAGAACTCCCACAAACCAGATGAATATCAACTAATAACCAATCAAATCTTTAAATCCGGTTTGATTTGGAATGAAGAAAGTGTACAAGACATGCTACATGATGATGCATCTCACGAAGCACAGAACAATAATCATGCAGAGTTCTGGATCAGTCAATGCCAACAATTTCCCTTTAAGAATCATAACTCATGAGAGATATACTACCTGAGCACCACCCATCACTGATATTCTAGCATTAGGCCAAAGGAACAAGAAATTGGGACTATAGGCACGACCACACATTGCATAGTTTCCTGCACCGAAGCTTCCTCCAACAATTATAGTGACTTTAGGTACCTGCAGGTATTTATTTGAAGAAAACATATTATTTTCCCATTAAAAATATCTCATGCTTTTGGATTCACTTTTATAAACATACTTAAACCATCTGTTTTCAAACATTGCTAAGTCATCTCTTTAAACTTACTCTGTCTCTGTAGATGTCAAGTTTACACAGCTCAAGAGTAAAAAAATATCTTATAACTTATTAGAAGGCGGCAGGAACCCACAAACCTTTGCACAAGAAACAGCCATCACCATTTTTGCACCAGACTTGGCTATGCCATTTGCCTCAGATCTTGAGCCAACCTACCAGATAGACAAATATCAGTTTCATTTTTTAATCAAATTAGTAAGGGTACATTTTGTATATCATAGCTCAAAATTGTTTAGAGAAAGAATACTTGGGTTTAAGTGTTTAACTATTCTTGATATGGAAAAAATGTGAGACAAACTAATAGATAATGCGTTCCTTCAACATTTTATAATTTGACATCCACTCTGTATGCTGACCTGGATGCCAACAGACACCATTTCATAAGGAATAGCACCATAGTTCAAAATTCATGATATCCATCGTTATATTTACTTAGTCTGTACTTTGAGATCTTATCACTTTCACTTAGTCTTACAGAGTCACTTATCAATCTGTATTTCCTAAATCTACACGTCATTGTATCCCTATTGAATTTCAATTGATGATTCTCAAACCCACCTGACTTTACTTAGTACAACAGTAGTACAGTGTCACTGATCTATCTGTATTTCCTAAATCTACACATCATTATATTTCTATTGAACTTGAATTGCTGATTCTCAAACCCACCTGATTTAATGCCTAATTGCTCAGTGATCGTAAGGCTCATGTATTCAAGTAATGATAGAGAATATTAGATAATTCCATGCTCTTGATTAGTAAACAATGAATATAACGAAGATAATTCATACCATGAATTTACTGATGTTCTGAAGGAAAAGGAATCAATCTACTCAGAAGTCAGAAAATCATGGCATAAAGCATAGTAATCAGAGTAACTGAAGAAATAACTTTAATTCATACCATGAATCCAGTGATGTTCTGAAGGAAGACCAAGGGAATGTTACGTTGAGTACATAATTCAATGAAATGGGCACCTTTCAGAGCAGATTCATTGAATAAAATCCCATTGTTTCCAATAATTCCTACAGGCTGCCCAAAAATTCTAGCAAATCCTGTTACAAGTGTCTGCGAAGATTTTGAAAAAGGATTTTATTATACAGATGGGGAATTACAACAATGCTCTTTTTTCTTTCCAGGTTCCTAGTATATTGATGAGTTGTAGAATATTTATTGATTATTGCATATACTTAGTGGACTCCAAATATTTATTGTAAAATCAACAACCAATAAATGTGACAGATCATCAAGTGTACAGACCATAGCAACCCATGCATATCAAGATAACAGTTAAAACGGGTAGAAGTAAAGTGGATATGCCCTCACAGTGCCATACAATTTCTTGAACTCATCAAATTCACTTCCATCAACAATGCGATCAATAACTGATCGGATATCAAACTGCTGCCTAAGATCAGTAGGAGCAATAGAGCGGAGTTCATTGACATCATAGAGTGGTTCTTTATATTCAGAATTTACACTTTGTGATCCATTTCCCAAGACATCTTTCCCAGCCATATGCAAATTCTTAATTATATTTCTCCCTAGTGCAAGTCCATGGAGTTCATCTACAAGAAACAAAACATGTACAGTGTCCGTGTGTCACAAAGAGGAACTAAATTAATTTCATCAGTTATCAAACTCAGATGTGTAACAGCATATACCTTGCGCAAAATAATCTGAAACACCTGATGTCTTGCAGTGCACAGCAGCACCTCCCAAATCCTCAGCCGAGACTTCTTCTCCAGTTGCAGCCTAATCATGTAAGTTTGAATTTGGTCATAAACATCAAGAAAACACATTACAAAAAAAGAGACATTATTATCTTTAAAGGATACAGATTCTTAAAACAAAAAAATAGCCAGAGATTATCACAGTATTTTGGAACACCAAAGTAGCTGGAGCTGACCTTAACAAGAGGGGGGCCTGCTAAGAAAATAGTGCCATTTCCCTTGACCATCACACTTTCATCAGCCATGGCAGGTATATAGGCACCACCAGCAGTGCAAGAACCCAATACCAATGCAATTTGCGGAATTCCTTGAGCAGACATTATAGCCTGATTATAGAATATTCTACCAAAGTTTTCTCTGTCTGGAAACACATCAGCTTGCTTGGGAAGAAAAGCACCTCCACTGTCAACAAGATATACGCAGGGCAATTTGCACTGAGCAGCAATCTCCTGGGCCCTGAGGTGCTTCTTAACAGTAATAGGATAATAAGTCCCTCCCTTAACGGTGGGATCATTAGCCACAAACATACAAAGTCGCCCATGCACAGGACCTATCCCAGTAACTATCCCAGCAGAAGGCAATGGTTCTTCATACAAGTCATGTCCTGCAAGCTTTATCATTCAAAAGTTAACACCTTTTCTACTTAAACACAAACCCATTTCTCTTAATTCCCATTTCCAAGCCTTAACCATTTAATTCCTATTGGTCACATCACATGTCTACCATATTCAACTAACATGCTTTCCAAATATACCAAATGAAAACAAAGAGTAATACGCCAAATTTAAGATGCACGAATACCTCAAAATTAGTGACGTATATGTATTGTACTCATACAGATACCAATACGCGTTTTATAGGACTGCTTATCTTCAGACCTCTTAATGTATATTTCTATTTAAATTTTCTTGTGATTATACTCTTTTTATAAATTTTTCAAGAGATTAAAGACTGACAATTATATGATGACCATGATAAACCAATACAAATATCAGCTACGTTAAGAAAATAAATAAATAAAATAATAAAATATAAACAATTTATAAATAAAAATTTGCTGAATATATATTGTTGTAACCATGTTTTGAAAAATAATTCATGTAAAAACGTCATAATCGGCCATTTTTAGTCCTTATTTTTTATTTTATTTTAGACAATAAAATAATTTACCATTCGGTAAAAGAGGGACTAAAATGACCATGTAATTTTAAGTCAAATAATTTTAGAAATTAAATTGGGCAATACTAATAAAATCACTTGTTAATCAGGAGCATCACTGAAACAATAAACACAAAATTGTTAAGTACATTAATTTAAAAGAAAAACCTGAGAAAGCTCGAGGAAAGAAGAGCCAGGATCGAGAAGGCGATCGATTCTTTCACGGGGAAGAAGCTTGTTCCTACTTCTGTTCCTCTTCACTGCCTCGGATCCTCCACCAGCAAGAACCTTTTGGACTTGAGATTGAAGTTGAGTAAGCAAATCCTCCATGGCCCCACCATGAGTGGTGGCTGTGGCTCCCAAGCACAACCACCTTCTTCCTGAACTTCCCAATAAATTGATCTTTCTTCCGATTAACCCAATCATCGCTTTTCTTCAACTGATTGATTGCACTCTGCAGCTATTGTTATGTCTATGGGATGACGAGGATCCACTCTCGGTTAGTGCATTGATATGGGCATTGGATAATCTTGCCACGTCTTTCACTACATAAGAACATGGCTTCTATCGTGTTACAATCTCTTTTAATATATTTTTTTTCTAATAAATATAATTTTATTAATTTCGCTTAAAAAATTAAGTAAAATGTTTTATAAATGACATAATGTTTTATATTATATGATAACTAAAATACGCTGTTTGTTAGAACCTCCGATTACAAAATAGCATCGTTTTGGATAGGCCTTAATTTGTTTTTTATATACAGTTTTTTCATTTTTTTCAAATTTATCTCGTATTAATGTGTTTAAAATTTGAATTTTAAAAAGAAAAAAAGAATTAGAACTTGTTTGTTTTCTATTTTTAAAATTAATTTTTAAACTAAAAATAAAATAAGCTTTGTTTATTAATATAAGTTTTATTTTTATTTTAAAAATAATTTTTAAAATTGTTTTAAAATATAATATTTTAAATTTGTTTTAAAATATAATTTTTAAAAATTAAAAATTAAAAATTAAAACAGAAACAAACAAGCCTTTAATATATTTTTTTTCCATAAATTCCTCTTTACTTTAAAGCTATACATTAGGTGAGAATAATATATTATTTTATTCTTTAAAACTATTAAAAAATTTATTTATTTGTTAAAATTATAAAAAAATTAATGTTTAGTTTCTAAAATTATAAATATAAAAAAAATTTAATCTTTAAAATCATGCTAAACATTTAATTTAATCTTTAAAATTATAAAATTAAATTGTGCAATAGCAAATTTAACAAAAAATTATCAAAAGAAATAATCATATAAAAGAGAGAGTGCGTGTTTTAGAAATTATTTAAAAAACAATTGATAAGTTATTATAATTTTAAGAATTAAAATAATTTTTTATAATTTTAGAAAATAAAAAAAAATATTTTATTATTTTTAAAGCTAAATTAATAAATGTTTATAATTTTAAAGACAAATAATATATTACTTGTTAGTTGATGTTTATTTATCTATTGTTTTTAAAAAATAATTTTCTTTTGTACTTTATGCACTAAAGTGAATTTTTAAACGAGCCTTATGTCGTTTTTATTGTTGTTGTAATTATTAAATATTAACTGTTGAGTTAACAGTTTTTTTATTTACGATCCAACTTACTCATGAGTTGATCTTTTTAATTCTTTATAAAAAATATTTATATAATATAAAAATAAAAAAAAACTTTTTTAGTAAAAAATATTATAATAAAACATTTTAATAAAAAAAAAATTTTTTAGTAAAAATTATTATAATAAAACATTTTAATTTTGTTTTAACATTTATGATTATTTTTAATATAATTTAATTATTTTTTATTTAAATAAATAGGAGAATTTATTTTATTTTTTAAAATTCAACTCATTTAAATATCAAGTATTTTTTTTATATTTCTAAATCTTTATTTCTCTCTCACTATTTCATGTCTTATTTAAATAGAGCCTTTAATCCACAAATACATCTATTCAGTTGGTAGTATTTAAAATAGTTATTTAATAATTATTAAAACTCAAATAACTTTGTGTGCACAATTCTCTTAAAATATTAATAAAATTAAGAAACAATAAAACAAGCATGAATCGAAGATATTTTGATTATTCAACATTTTATTATACCTGTGCAATTTATACTAATTTAATATTTTAAAATAAAATTTAAAATCATTTAAACTTATTTTAAAAACCTCAAATAAGAATTAAAGAAAGAGAAGAATAAACAGTGTAAATAGGCATATTATGTGTAGCTCCAAACTGAGATATAGAAATGGAGAAAATGACTAAACACATTATCCGAATCGAGAGCAAACAGAGAGTAACACACTAACAGAGTGGAATCCATGTGGTTGCTGCCTCAACCTTCCACAACGCTCTCTCAGCTCACTGTCTCTGCTCGCGCTCTTCGTTTCACACCCTCTGCCTCCGTCACTTCTCCACCTCATGTAGCCCCTCCCAAGAAGGTTCTTCTGCCCATCGGCTTCGGCACCGAAGAAATGGAAGCCGTTATCTTGATTCACGTCCTGCGCCGCGCCGGTGCTCACGTCACTGTTGCTTCCGTCGAGCCGCAGCTCCAAGTTGAAGCCGCTGGAGGTACCAAATTGGTAGCCGATACCTCCATATCCACTTGTACCGATCAAATTTTTGATCTCATCGCTTTACCAGTTAGTTCTCTATCCGAAACCTTTATTGTTAATTGTTATTGCTGCTTCGTGTTTGTGGCATTAAGTTTTAACAACAAACAGGGAGGAATGCCTGGGTCCGCTAGATTAAGGGATTGCGATGTTCTGCGAAAAATAACATGCAAACAAGCTGAGGAAAACAGGCTCTACGGTGCTATTTGTGCTGCTCCCGCCGTCACGCTGTTGCCGTGGGGTCTTTTGAAGAAAAAGAAGGTGCTTTCGTTAAGTTTGATTTTATTGAATTTATTGGACTAAATCCTCCTATTAGTCTAGGAGATTGTATATATTCATTCATTTTATTCCTTGAAATTTTAAAAATTGCAATAAGTCATTCATTTTAGTTTTTTTTTACTTTATTTTTCAATGTCATTTTGTGATAAAGCAATGGGTAACCAAAGATTTTTAAAATATTAGGGCTGTTTGTTTTCGGAAAATGTTTTTTTTTTCACTTTTAATTAAAAAAATGTTACTTTGTTTTTATTTTATTTGTCATATGTTTCATTGTTTCATGGACAAATATTTGAAAACAAGAAACAAAATAAAAATAAGTTAGCAGTTTTGTATTTAAAAGTGAAAACAGAAAACCAAATAGTCTCTAAAATGTTCAATCCATATAATTTCAAGGACTAAGATGGGCTATACCCATATTTGTTGCCATGATTTTAATTTGTGGCAGTAATTGCTTGCTGTCACGATGCTGACATGAAATTTCAAAAATAGTAATATTATGACTGCAATTACAGTTACTGCACTTTAAACTAGAGTTTCATTTTGTTGTTTTTTGTTGGATAAGGCTAATTTGTTCTAGTTTGTAATTGCAAGATAACTTGTCACCCTGCATTCTTCGACAAGCTTCCTACCTTTTGGGCCGTTAAATCAAATATTCAGGTTTCCAGAGGGCTCACAACCAGCCGTGGGCCTGGAACTACTTACCAGTTTGCTTTATCGTTGGCTGAGCAGCTATTTGGGGAGTCTGTTGCCAAGGAGGTCGCAGAATTGTTGGTAAACTGTTTTAGTTAGCAACCTTCTTGCAGGAAAGGAATAAATTGTTTCCCTTTCTTTTCTTATATAGCTGATGCAGTGCTGAAAGTAATGGAGCCTGACATTGAATTAGTATACAGTATACACAACAATCATAATAAAAGGGAAATGCAAATTTACTAATCACTTGAAGAGAGCATTCTAATAGGATTCAGTTGTTCTGTAACGATGAATATTCATGTGTTAAAATTGTAAGCCCTAAATTGCAATGATGCATCAGGAGCAAACTCTTAGAAGATTCAACAGTCAAAGAACTAACTATTGTTAGATACTGAACTAGTTGAACTGGGAAATTTTGGTACTGCTTGGTGTACAAATAGAGAAGCATGGAACACAATGAATCAGTTCTATCATGTTTTGTTCCCCTTGGTTTCAACTATTTTAGTGGAACCCAAATGTACCACTTTTTAGTCTCATATCTAGTACTATTATTATTTTAAAACACGTCAAACATAAAATACAACCCGTATGCTATGTTTGATCCCATTTTAACATATTTACGTAATGCTATAAAAAAAGATTAATGGAGAGGAAAAGAGAAGAGCAGAAAATTTAAATGCAAAATGATGAATGTACTTGAAATTTATGTTTTCAAATTTGAATCCTTAATTTTGATTTCGATCACATTTATAAAAATTAGCATTTTTTTTTTCTTTCTGATGCTTGATGTGTGTTGGCTTATCAGTCAAATTCTGTGCCTGATTGATTACTCTTCTTTTATAATAGTTGATGAGAGCCAATGACAATAATGCAGCCAAGGAGGAGTTCAATGAAGTTGAATGGTCTGTTGGCCATCACACCCCTAGTGTAAGCTTTTTACTTATTATCATATCTGTATAGTTTGGGAAGACTTCTGCAACAAGGATCTTACACACACCTTATGATAGCCAGGTCCTCATACCAATTGCACATGGTTCTGAAGAGATTGAAGTAGTGACCGTGGTAGATATTTTAAGGCGAGCAAAAGCCAATGTCATAGTTGCTTCCGTTGAAAAAACTCTTGAAGTTTCGGGTTCTCAAGGAACCAAAATAGTTGCTGATATATTAATTAGTAATGCTCAAGAGTCAACACATGATTTGATCATTCTTCCAGTAAGATAAATTTCTGAAAATAAATAAGTTGCTTCATTTTTTCATGGTGCTATAGACTATAGTAGATCCTCCAAGTCATTGTCATTGGGTTTTGAATCATTAAAATTTGATTTGATTTATAAATCTCGTCTTTCATCATGGTGCTGCATTTTTTGGTGGTGGTATAGTAGACCCTGCAAGTCATTATGGTTGTGTTTTGAATCATTAAAATTTGATAAGATGTGGAAATTGATTCTTATGTTTATAGCCCATCGTAGAAACTAGGATTTGAGTTGAGTTTAAATTAAATTGTATGTTTGAAACACCTTAATATCGAATGGAATTCATTTTGTTTTAACACTCACTGTCCAATGACTCTAGTCCTTGATAAGAATAGTTAGTGTGTAAATAATAGGGGTAAAATTATAAATGTAAGTGTTTAAAATTAAAATAAAATAAAACCCACTCAAATCCAATCAAATTTGAGTGGATTGCAAAATGTGCACCATCTATATTTCAAAATCAAATCAATCCCTATTTTTAAACTTCCAAACATATACAATATTTACCCCCATCCTCACCCACCCAAAAAATAAAAAATCATACACTATTTGCTTGAGCGTAGGTTGAATATGGGTAAGCACGCCCATATCTTGTGCTATTATTTTTTATTTTATTATTATTATTATCTTTCTGAAAATTGTAGGGTTTTTCATTGCTGTCTTAATGAACTTAATCTATTTAGCTTATGATATTTATTATCTGCAGAATCAGACTGATTCCTCTTTTTGTCCTATCTTTCATTTGTTGCTGACACTGTCGTGAATTTTAGGGAGGAACTACTGGTGCTCAAAGACTAAGCAAATCTAAAATTCTGAAGAAGCTTCTTAAAGAACAAAATTCAGCTGGAAGAATATATGGGGCGCTCTGGTCTTCACTTGCTATTCTACATAAACAAGGTTTACTAAAGGTATTTGACACCCTATTGTTATCATTCTGCTTCCTGAATCCCGATCCAATTCTTATTGAAAGCCTTACTGAAATGAGAAATCTCTTGCTGTTACAGGACAAGAGGGCCACAGCCCATCCCTCTACCGTAGACAAGATTAAAGATGAAGCAATAAACGGTGCTAAAGTAGTTATTGATGGCAACCTGATCACTAGTGAGGGACTTGCCACTGTAACAAATTTTGCATTGGCTATTGTAAGCAAGCTATTTGGTAATGGAAGAGCAAGAAGTGTAGCAGAAGGCCTTGTTTTTGAGTATCCTAAGGATTAGAATGCATGGTTTGAAGTACATGTAAGTGGGAGGCAAAATTATAGTTAGACTAACAGAGGAGGAGTTTATCAGTCTTTTTCAAGCCCAAGCCTTGCCAACAACTCCATATTATCATAAGAATTATCATGTCTCCTATCACTTGACGAAACAAGGAAAAGTTGCAACTTTTGTGGGCAAATCCTTGATCAACTTGTGCACATCCATGTTGTCTCGGCAAAATCTACCAGCTAAACCCATGCTTGGTTTGTTCGGTATCAATTCATGCCCCCTTTTGCATACATGGATGGTAGCGATCATCATCTTCAAGTTTCATTTCAAGAGGGGATGTTGACCTGGGAATGCCATTGCCATTGACTTAGACGGGAACTTGTTGGTTTTCGTCATGTGTATCGAATAGTGAACATGTTGTAGTTAACGACAGATTGAACTTTCTAACGTAGAATTTAAACCTAATAGGTAATTCATTATGAAAATGCCCAAAACGCAATGTCATCAACAAATTATCAATTAGTATCACAAAACTCAAGCAAGAAAAGTTTTCATGGGGAGTTTTATGGGAACAGGTGGTTCGGAGTCATCTATACCTCGGCAGTAAATCTTCAAATTTTATACTCTTGTCAATCAAGGGGTAGCAGCCTTGGCATGTAACCTTACTTTTTATGGCTGTTTCATACTGAACCAATTGCGACGTATAGCACATAAAAAGATTAAGCTCAAGCTGTTCTCAAAATCAGAATATTTGTATTATTTTTAAATTTTAGTATTGATTTAACAGTTTCATTAACATGAAAAAGATAATTTTTTAGGTTAAATTAATCAATAAATCTGTATAGTTGTCCACGTTTTTAATTAAGTACTTAAAAAAAATTCTCGTAATACAATATTTTATAATAAGAACCCTAAATACTAATGTTATAACTCCGTTAAGTCATGTTTATGTGACTAAAGGATTAGATGGATTGTGAGAATGGTAATGGACAAAGTTACTGATAACATAATTCCTCTTAATGGTTGTTTAATTGGTGATTTTGTTGATTGGTACTTAGTGGCTACAATCTACACTGTTAGTCTTTTGTTAGACCATAAGTGCAAAGTATAAAAAGCCACTTTCATTCCACTCATAGAGTGCACAGGCTGCGCTACCCCAATACAAAAATGAAGTACCATTATTGATCTCAACTGTTGCCAGTTCTTGTAGATGTAGGCCCAAGTCGCTTTTGCAAGTTGCCATAGCCAAATCTGACATATCAGCAAGCAACACAAAAAGCTTTCCAAACCATGAACCATCATCATGCTCGTTTATCATGAACATCCACGTAAATCACCCAGACGAAGTTACCTCTCAAAATCGGTGTTACAATCAATGGGACTATGATACTAGTTATAAAATGGATAATTTGAATTTTAGCCACTACCAAGATTAAGGAGATCCAATATTTCCTTCCCGCTTTTTTATAGGATTAATTTTATTCAATGTCACATGTCGTGCAAACATAACGTCTCAAATGCTATATAATAACTAAAAGCATAACTTAACGGAGTTATAATGGTGTTGGTCTTGAAGGATATTGTAGAATTTTGAAACTATGAGAACTTAATTTACAATGTTTCAAATCATATTCTCTTAAATAAAAATATGATGAAATTATAGAGATTTACTGATTAATTTAACCTTCATGACATACATGATTACTACAATCAGCATTTAAATTAAATATAAAATATTTTGAAGTTTTAATTGAAAAAAGATACTTCTCATAAAATTGGTTATTATTTATAACTGTTAACCTTTTTCTTCTTCCTCAATTAGCTGACCCATCATTAATTTCACCTTTTTCTTGATTAGGTAGTGTAAAGATGTCCTTTTCATGATTGAAATTTTTGCGACATTCTCTTCCTTTGAAGTTTACTCAAACTCTGCCTCTAAAGTTCCTTCTTCCTCTATGATTGAAAATGTGACCTCTACCTTTTGCACTTTGGTTGGACATTGCAATATTTCTTAGCTTTTTTTGTACTTTCCAAAGCTTTACTCACTTGATTTTCTATGCTTCCCTACGACTTTGCATCAACTTTAATAGAGATGCAAAAATCTGTGGTATGTTGCACTGTGTATTTCTGCTGAACACTGCATTTCGGCTTGATTTAATTTTCTCGTAGTTATTCATGTTTGTGCTTAACTAAGATAGAAAAAAGAACATCCTAAGTTTTAGCCAAAAATGGACCATGATGAAAACAGAACGATTGTGCCAAATAATAATGATGCCTACTAATAATAACCCTCCAATTGCTCTCCAAATTCCACGTGTATCCGAGAAGAAAACGAACACTATGATAACGCCTTATTTCAGACTCTCACGCAATGGCAATGAAAGAAATTATAGGGAATTCATTTTCTCTTTCTATACAAAAGTTTAGATTAAGAAGAATCTATATTTTATCCATAAAAACTTACAATAAGAATACACATTGTCAACTGAGAAACTCCTACAATCAAAACTAAGTTTGTTATGAGAAAAGGGTCAACCAAATAAATCAACTCCCATTAACTATGCATGACTTGTGGGAAATACATGGGAATCCCACTCCTTTGATTAAGGCATGAAAGGTGTGCTATGACTAGAACTTAAATTCTACAAAAAAGTTAGAGACAGTCCAATAGGCTTGTGTTATCTTATCATCCTGCAACAGAAAAGAAAATAGCATTCAAGCATATATAATAGTTTATTATCCAAAGATACAAGTTTAATGTACAACTCAACCCTCCTAGTGGCCTATACATAAAATATCAGCACCCTATATAGCTTCGGACTGCAATTACCTCAATCTCACATACATACTCCAGTCCTTATGACATAACAATGCCTTCGTTCGTATAGCTGTCGCTTATAAACAAAGAGACTCAAATAGTTTACCATGGTCCAGTAAGTGTTCTTCTCAAGCATTGTATTTTAGTTACCCGTGGCCGGCATGCAGGGTCCATATCCTGTCAAAAAAATAAGTGAACTCAAAGGTTTACAAAAATGAATTTTTAAATAATTCTAGAGGACAACTTTTTAAGTATAGTTCTAATATGCATATATATATTTTTTAATTGTTCAAATAATGTAATATATTTCCAACAATAGGTCTGCCCTATAATGATTGATTTATCCCATGGTCAATCAAAGAAAAAAGACAGAGAAAAATGTTTTATTATTGGCAGGGTTCATGTGTAAAAGATATTGTACCTTATTTTTCTGCATTTGCATAATTTCTACCTGTATCAAACCATGCATGGTCAGAGATTGCCAAAACCGTAGTCAATAAATGGCTGATAAGGACGTGCGCACAATGATAACATACCTGTTTTTGTTGTAATTCTCTGTTTAGTTCCTTGAGTTTTGCCACTTCAGCCTCTAGTTCGAAAGTGTAGGCCTGCCATTTAAAAGAATCAGAATTTAGTAATTACGTGCATTTTAGAACACTGCAATAAATCATTTCATAAGAAAGGCAAAAAAAGGACATCATATAATCCATCATGTATTTTAACTCTTTCTTTTCTCAATTTTACCGTTCATGAATAGTTATTTTGGGATCACATTTTTTATTGAAGAATGGCGATAAATAAGCTTTATCAAATTTAATTTTTCTGATAAAAAAAAAAGAAGAGATTTATTTTATTTTCTATTCATAAAAGAAATGTGAGCATTGGGATCCCACTAAAAATAGAGTGGAACCCAGATTTTTTTTTAACAAGCATTTGCACAGTCAATTAAAAGTATGTGGTTCTTGACAGAATGCATAATAATGACTAATTAGAAACCGGGAAAAACTTTTTTTTTTCGGTTTATTTATACAAATTTTTAGAATCAGAAATAAAGTAGCATTTTCTAACATTTTTATAAATGTAGGAAACGAAAAGAAAATTTTCTTTTCCCAAATCAACCGACTCCTGAATTATTCATTTAAGTAAATTTTCCTTCACTCATAGGTGAATTTACACAAGAATGCATGTTAAAGACTAACTGGAATGTGGCTAACCTGCTTGCGAGCCCGTGATCTAGCAGCTGATTCTCTATTCTTTATCATTCTCCTTTGTCTCCTCTCAACCACTTTCTCTACAGCACTGCATTTCCTTCCTCTGTTGATCACATAATGAACTGGAGAAAGTGAAGAAGTATCTACATTACTATTCTTTGTAATTACATCCTGTGATATTTTACTTGATGGAGAAGCCCCAGATGCTGTGACATTAGCCGTGGATAAACTAACCATTCCAACACTAACCACCGCACTACTTTGAACCAATGCACCATTCATTGAATGCTCAGAAACACCAATCAACCCTCCCCTTCTGCCAGGGCTTGTAAGTTGAGCATTGTTTAGTAAATGCATAGGAGGAGCAGCAAAAGCTACATTGGTTGGTTTTGGGAAAAGTGGCGGTGGCTGGTGCTGTTGTTGTTGTGGCTGTACTTGTCGTTGCTGAGAGTGATTTGAGTTTAATGATAAAGGAGAAGGGTGTTTAGGAGTAAAGTTGTTACCATCCACCACCCTATCACCCAAATTCCCATTATTTCTATTTGGTTGTTGAAACCCAAGAAGTAGACCAGTGTTATTGTTTGGTCTATGAAAGTCACCAAACCAACCATTATTGTTGTCATTTGGTTTTCCAACTTGTGGAAACACATCTTCTCTCACAACACCAGCTCTCACCAAAAACTCCTCCAAAGTCATTTCTCCCAATGTTGGTTGCCTTTGTGGCACAGATGAACCCCCTCCATTGCCATTTCCACTTTCATCTTTGCCCACACTAGCACTATCTTTGATCAAATCTCTCCAAACCTCGTCAACTGTTTTCTGACTAAGAGTCCTTGGCAATGTTAGAGAACCTTGTCTTTGCAAAGTACCACTTGGGTTACGACCTTCTCCTCCACCAGCTGAAAATGCCAAGGCTTGAGTCTCTTCAGCTGTCCATATGTTTTTCAAGAGTTCATCCATGTTCATTGACCCAAAATCCTTCCCAATCCCACCCATTGTGTTCTGAAACTCATCAAATGTCAAGGAGTATATTGAGGGCTGTCTCATCAGAGTAACATTTGCTGGTGGCTTCCCACCCATTGCATCCCAAGTGGGGTTGTTATTATCACCGTAGTTCCTAAAGTTCATCTTTGACCCCACTTTCTAAGACTTGAAGTAGACGTAAGAGCTTTACTTAAGCAAACTTTGTCTTACATATCAATCATGCCCAAGTAGATCATGTGGTATTTTCAGTGATTGTGCTTTGGAATGATTTCCTTGGATTTAGATCTAGCCATTCACAATATAGAAAAGCAATAAATTAATTATGATACTAAAAGCAGATAATTAAACCCCCCCTCCGCAAGCCTCTCAAAAGAGAAGGAACAAGAAGAAACAAAATATTCACGTACAACGCCGTTACAACATTTGAGGAAACAGTAGTTAACAGTTACAAAATACAAAACACTACATGTGTACAAAAATCCAAACCAGTTCGAATGGTAAAAATTAAAACCCCTACCATTACTACTCCGTACAGACAAATAAGATATAAACCACTGTGTCAGTTATTCTAGTATTTTGCGCTGCATCAGATCCACAATATAACCCAAAAAGTATAGAAAAGGATCATTTGCAGATGGTGCACTTTCATTTCATCTTTAACCATATAGTATTTTGTTCGTATAATTTAATGTATAATTTTTGTTTTTTGGATGGCTACGATGATCTTGCAATTAAAATTATAACTTTCCCAAAATACTTTCAAGTAGTGAAAATATCGTACAAGTCTGGTAAATTGGATTAAGTTGGCCGGAGTTAGTAACCTAAAATCTGATGTGGATGGAACTCGAAATTTTTACACGCTTTTAACTAAAAGTTAACTAATTTCTCGGAGATACCAACACCCTTTTACAAGTTCAACAGAACCCAACATGCTTTTTTCGAGCAAAATCATTAAAATCAAAAAATCTTTCCGACGCGTCACCATCCCCAACTTAATTTTCTTTTTATCTTAAAAAAGAATTGTCACCACTTTACAAAATTAACGTCCAAATACGAAAACTCCCTTGCAAGGCGCAACTCAATTCCTCAGGTCGTGGACGCAACAGAGCTTTGCGGCGATCGGAAAAACCCAAAAGTGAAGGGAATTGTTGGTTGAGAGAAGGGAGAGAAATATAATTAAAATAAACTTGGAAGGCTCCAAGAAAGAAGGAAGAGAGCAAAGGCAGAAAGATAGTAAGACGAAAACAATGATAAATAATTAAAATCCGACATAAGGTGGAGAGATGGTTACGTTGAGGAAAAACAATGGCAGTGAGAATGAAATAATGGAGGGAAAATTACCTTGGGTTAGTGTTTTTGTTTGGGCTTATTTGTTCATCAACGTTGGACTTGGGAGAGTGTCGTGTCGCAGCGATCTTGAGATTGGGAAGTGTGGTGGAGTCGACAAGTGTCTTGTGCTGCCTCGACACGAGTCGAGATTTAAGGAGACGCTCTGTGACTTGGGCTATCATATTATTGGACTTTTCTCCCATTATAATATTTCTTTCAAAGAAAATGGAACCACAGTTATCTTAAAACGTGGACCAATCCCTACTCACTTTAACCTGACGTGACCTCCAACCAATCACCCTTCGAAATCTGGAACCATACACAGCACTTGATGCTCCTTTCCGACAACATTTTACATTGCTCATCATCATTACTCTTGGATTTTTTCTCATCCATTTTTATGTCCTTTTTTCTTTCTAATGCCAATATCTCTTAGATATTTTTTTAAGAAAAATTATGTTAATTTTTTGTTACCTTTTTATTAGATATAATTTTGTAATTTTATTTTTATAATAACTTGAACATTTTTAATAAAGATGTTTTAGTCAAACTAGTTTATTTTAATATAATAATTAATAAAGTTAGTTATTTTTTAATAATATCATCATTCTTTTAAATATATATTTTTTGTCATTCACTACTATAATAACTTGAACATTTTTAATAAAAGACAAGAAAAGGGTAATAGTTTATATTATTTTCTATCTTTCTTTTTCTTGGGATATATCGTCGTGGCTGAATCTTACATTATCTTTCAGATATGAACGATAAAAAGTTTTTGGAACCAGTTTGTGCTGCCTGCTCACTGCGAGCGAGGTAAGATAGATGTGAAATTTGAATCAATTCGTTTCGTCTTGTCTCCACACACATCGTCAATCGTTTAATTAACGTCACGCCCAATTTAGTTATTAGTCAAGTCAACTATATTAATAAGAACATTTATCTTCACTAAATATTAATTAATATTTAAAATTATTTATTTATCAATAAAATATATAGTTCTCTAAAATTACTACACATAAGTTAAACAGATATATGCATAGCTAATGAAAGTTAATTTCATTAACAAAGATTGATTCCGTATTTTATACGGATAAGAGATTAAATTTCACTGTTTAAAAAATGATTAATAGACAAATTATGAGTATTTTTTGAATTTTAGTTATGATGTCTTAATTTGATGAGTTTGTAAGGCTTATTTGCCTAACGTATAATATCTTGGTTACGATTATTTTAAGACAATCGTCAACCTTTCTTCGTATAGCTTACAATTAAATATGAAATCTTGCATGCAACAGAAAAAGTATGAAGTCTTTTGGTCACTTAATTTTCTTACTCTTTTTTCTTTTTTTTTTCTCGCGAGGCACCAGTAATAATCTAAATAATTTTAAAATATAAAATATTATTGCTGTATTATTTTTTGTCATTGACTAAATATCCTAATAGTGTAGCTCTGGGACTAACCTTGCAATCAAGACTAGTGAATAAGTAAAATACTTTCTATAGTGATAGCTCTTGAATAGCAAAACCCATCTTAATTGGTGATTAGTTTATTTTTTAAATTGTATTTATTAAGATTCAATTTCAAATTTCAAATTCTATCTACTTCTACTGCGACCAGACTTTTATTCTTTATGTAATTATAAATCCTTTTTAAACATTCCGTCGCTTTCATGTGTGATTCCAATATTATTAAGAGCTTGATATTTTAAATATTCTATACTGTTTTTTTTATTCCTGGTAATGGTTATATATATATATAGCTACTGTAGTAACATATTTTGAATTAATTACTTAAAAACTAACAAAATCTAGAGCGGAAATTAAGTTGGTTTGGGAGTAATTCTATTAAGGGTTGAATAATGTTATATTTTTATGTTAATTATGCATAGAGTTTTTTAAAAAATTAGATATTTATGAATATGTAATTTTATAATTAACATTTATTTATATTTTAAAATATATATTAAACATTAAAATAAAGTTACTCAATAATATATATATATATATATATATATATATACACACACACACAAAATGTTCATAGTTATTATTACCATTTTCAAAATATAATTATAATAAGAAATAATATTATATACATAAATAAAAACTACATTTTAAAAATATATTCATGCAAACAGCTTATTACTTTTACCATAAAATATATTATGACTATCTAACGAAAAACGCACTATTTTATTATTGTCTATAGCAAAACAATAAGAAGATGCAATAGTATAAAAGAAAAACTTTAAAAAATTGGTAATAAACTAAAATATTATTATTGATCGCAACTAATTTTAATCTGTTTGAAATTATTTATAAATATTTGTATTTTTACAAATTATGATTCCTACTATTCGTAATAATAACATTACTTAACTCATTTTTTATAATTTAAATTATTATTTTCTTATCATCTCACCTTTTAAAAAATTATTGTGTTATATTTTTTTAATTTATTTTTTTTATCATTCTTAATTTCTAATTATTACATGATTATATAAGTAAAATATTTATTTTAACACAAAATAATAGCTATTGTAAATTTTATAATATTATTTAAAAATATTTAGTATTAATGTATGCACTAAATTTTTTTATGTTATTAACATGTAACAATTTTTTAGAATAATAAATATAATTTTATATTATATCAAGTAAATGTCTTGATTATAAAATCTTAATATTATTTTTAAAATGAGACTAGTCCAATTTTTTAATAAACTTTTTGTTTTATACAAGTCCAATTCATTGATTACTCCATTTGTCAATCTATTTTATATAATCAATTAAAATGTCACAATTTTAAGTTATTATATATGTGTTTCTTTTTCCTTTTGTCCTTATAAGAGAAACTTATTCTATGCTTCTTTTGAAAAAATACTTTAACAGGAGAGATTTTTAGTCCTAACTCGTTGATTGACTATTAATGTCAACTCTGTCTTTTCAATTATGCTGACGTGAACCAAAAAAGTGTGCTTATTTGCTATCGTTTCTGCTACAGGTTACAAATACCTTGAAGTTTAAATCCAATAAAAAATAAAAAATGTGAACATTAAAATATTGCTATACAAATATTTGATTTTAAGTTTTAAAAGTTTAAGTATCTATTTGCCTAGAGCTTTGGCTTGTAAAGCATTACAGCTTCCGTGAAATTAGCACTCTGAAATTGTAGTTAATACTAATAAAGAAAGCTAGTATCCCTCTTTGTAATGTATTTTTTAATATAAATTTAATTATTAATTAAAAATTATAATAATATAAAAGAAAAATATTTAATTAAAATTAAAATACATTAAAATTTACGTAATTTTTAATATATTTTAATTAATAATTTAAAATATATTACTAATATTTGTGTAAATAGTTTTTGTTCTGTTAAAATATGTGAACATGCAAATCAATTGACTTAATATTATTTGAACTTAATTTCTACTTTTAAATTTGAGTATTAATGTGTTAAATATTTAGAAAAATTTTGTTGTCACTCCTAATAATCTTATATGATTCAAAGAAAACCTATGAACCATACTTAGTGTTTAAAAAATTATGTATAATTTTGATTGATTTTTATTTATTTTAATCATAAAGAAGCTATTGTATTAGCATTATATGCGAAACGTACGAATGAAAGTTAAAAGTAAATGAATTTATTGGGAAATTTGAGGATCATGTGCAGCCAAGGAACATAGAATGATGAATATGCAACCCAGCTAAAAGATGAACTAGCCAAAATAGCAAAGCTAGACGAAGATCACGAGCGTGTAATTTGTCAGTGTAAAAAGAGAAAAAGCATATGAACATAGGTAACCTCTTAGGCCTGCAGATTCTAAGGATCTGTCATCTGTTCACGGGCTATGAAGCCAGTATGAGTCACTCTATTCAGTGTTGTTGCTCAGTGATTGGCCCAATTGCTTCCCAGACACAAATTTCTTCAAATATTCACTATAAACTTGTTCATACATTATAAGATAATAATTTGTATATAAGAGTACTATACATGTATAATAGATATTTATACTCCACTAGTCTATTGGATTTGGAATTTTAAGATTAAATTATACAATGGACAGATCACGCTAACTGACGGTGGTACAGAATTTATTCTATTAATTCAAAACTTAAAAGATCGAAAATGGAATTTATTTGACCCTACAAAACACAATAAACAGAATTTGATGCCGAAGAATGAATATAATTATTTAAACAAGAGAAGCAGTATTTGGAGAGGAAAATGGTGAGGAAGCGAAAAGCATCCACGTGGATTCTTGTAAGGATATATAAAAATACAAGATAGGAATAAGGAATTTTGAAGAGTTAAAATAAAAAATAGTTATAATGGAGAAATACTTAAGAATGTGTTTGAAAATAGGGACAAAGATTGTGCTAATAAAGTAAGATAAAAGGATGAGGGTGTGGTGTGGGTGAGTGCCCTAGTGTTGCGGAGATGAGGAATAAAGAGAGTGAGTTGGTGAATAATGGTGAATGGTGATTGCATGTGGTGCTATTGTTAGTGGGGACATATGACTCAAAATCATACTCTCTTCACATCTCTTCCCACAAAACCATCCAAAATGCGCTGACACGCACAACGAATTCATCTACGATTCCATAACATTAATGCTCCTTCCTTCTGTACGTTGATGCCATTTCTGTTCCAACAATATCATTTCCATCCACAATCATAATATTTCATACTATTTTTGCTTTCACACTTTCAATATTCTTTTTTTTTTCTTATTGTTTCAAAATTATATTAAATCTTATAGTTAATTAATTGAATTACAAGTGTTTAATAAAATTAGTTTTACGACTAATCAACGATTTCCCATTCGTACTAAGAGTTGCCATTATGGACCAAGGTTAAGGAAAGGCTTAGCTGGGAAGATATGTCCTAAATTGATGCAATTCATTTCCTACTCATCTCAAGACAGTAAAGCTTCGACCATCTGTTGTAGTATCATTCAATAGTTTAAGAGTGTAAATTTTACTATATTCTCGGTGTATAGTCTTCACCGTCGTTATATAATTTTTACATTAACTAGTTTAATAATTCAATAAATATATATATATGTATTTTTATTTTTAAATAAATATATAAAAATTATAATAATTAAATAATACACCTTTATATCTTTATAAGTAATTATGTACAATAATAATATAATTATTTC